AGTCCTTCCTATTTGTGCTTAGGAGTTAATTAGTATAGGAAGGTGTTTTGAGCACCTGTTTCTGTGATTATGACAAGTTCTACAGCCCTGCTGCTGATGGAGTTCTCTGTGTCATATGAAGAGAAATTATTGATTTTTCAACAGGAGACTGTAGAAAGGTTATTTCTAGGGCACTGGTACATAGAAGCCGTGATGTTAATCAGATCTAGTTAGATGAAATAAAAAGGGCCTTCTGTCACTTGTAATTAATCAGGGACTATTCAGACAAATCCTGTTGATTCATTGCAGTTACAGTTCATCATGCTAACTAAAAGATAAAATATAGTCTGAGTCAGACATATATTTGAAAACAGGAAAATATCTTAAGAGGTCAGCACCAACATGTATGTGGTAAATGCAGAGGGAGACACTTAATTTGAATTCCCTCAAATTTGACAAATTACACAATTCATCATCAAAGAATTCATCTTAGTTGGGACAATTCTGTCCTGAAAGAAGCCTAAATATAATTGTACAATTCTGCCCTGACAAGAGCCTTCTCTACAGGGTACAATTCTGTCCAGTCAAAAAATATATACATAAATACTCCATTATAACGGTTTATTGTGTGTTTATTTTGTCGGACCTAGAAATGACATTCTGGATGTCTTATAATATGCCTTTTACATATAGCACTTCCTGATTGTGGTTGATGACAGGGGCTACCTTAAGGTGACATATTCCTTGCATATTGTTGTCACAGGGGGATGTACAGGGTAATTTTTGAAAGAGTTGTAATCTGGAAGCAAATGCTTAAGTATTTTTTTTTAAATATTAAACTACAGTGTAACTACAAAAATAATAACTACAGTTAATAACTACAATGTGGTTTCTGGGGTATGAAGTTATTAAGAGGACTTGGGGGTTCGTGGCCATTTTAAGATGAATTAAACCTCTTGGAAAAGAGCTCTGTATTAAAAGAAAATTAATCAATATTAAAGCTCTTCTTCAGGTTTTGTAATGTAAACTGCATTACTTTTAAAGTCTAGTTTGTTCCTAAGACACTTGACAGGCGAGCTTTATAATTCATGAACCTCTTGTGATGACTTTATTGTGTACATAATGTAGACAGTGCATGTTATGGAGGGTAACAGTTGAAACTGACACCCAATGAGAAAACCATTGTTAATTGATGCATCAGAGGAGGTTGAGTTTTTCTGAGGGGTGTCCATTTCAACTCTTACCCTCCAAAAAGTTATAACATGGTGAAAATTTTCACCCCTCAAAAACCATTGTCAACCTCGGCTGCATCTCGTTTGACCTTGGTTTTCATGGGGTGAAAATTTTCAGTGTTACCCTCAACTACATGCAGTATTTATATAATGTTACCCATTGCAAAGTTTGCTTGCTTATGCAGAGGATACAAACTGGTTAATATTATTATTTTAATTTGGACCCTGAGGAAAAAATAGTAAATGGAATATTCAACTAAATGTTTACTTTTGTTTCCACATCTACTGAAGTCACCTGAATTTTCATAAGCTACAATTCAATACAAGTTTGAAAGGTTTTATTAGTCTAAATATTCTCTCTCTCTCTCTCTCTCTCTCTCTCTGGTAAGCCTATTGTATTTGTGGTTTTAAAACTTTTAACTTTATACCACAAAAAGCCATTTAAATTGTAAAAGGTGGAATTGTGCCTCTCGTTATCAGTACTTCTGATTGACACACTGAATTAATGATAAGCCCAGTTATTCCTCGTGAATGTAGGACACTCAATAATTATTGGTTCCAGAAATAGATGGAGTGCAACCTGTTACTGAGCTAGCTTTTAATATATTGGTGTACAGTGGTGCACCTAACCCTGCTCCTAGATTGTGCTGCACTCTATTGTGCTGTTAGATTGTGTCCACTTTCTACCTCATGCATGGAGAAAGACATTTAAGTATTCCCAATATAAACCTGGAGCCAGCTATGTAGGTCACTGGGTCACTGCGATCTGGGTTAGTGGAAGGCTTTGCTGGGGTTGCAGTGTCAGAGCTACAGTGTGTAAGATAGTGAGGAGTGTGTGTTTCCCTGAAATTGGACCGTTAATAATTCAGAAAATTTCTTAAGGTAAGAAGTTTAATATGATAGAAAAAGCTTGTGGTCTACTTTAGCAGTGACTTAGTCATTGGGATTAGGAGTGAGATAGATATCAGAGAGGGCACAAAGACAGGTAAACCGTGATCGGATTTTTTTTTTTTTTTTTTTTTTTTTTTTTTTTTTTTTTTTGTTCAGAGGTAAAAATGGATGCCATTGAGAAGAAGTGTTTCACAAAAAATTAACATGTATTGATTAAACATTCTCTCATGTGCACACTGATAATGATTAAGCTTTTACGAAGAACATTTATGAAAATTTTAATGTCTTCTTTCCTGCAGGATTTTCAATCAGTTTGACAGCTTGAATTTTAACATGATATGATTGAGCAATTATAGACCGAATTAGCAAATGTTAATGCAGCTTAAAATCTGACCTGATAAGCCTAAGTCAGTATATATATAGAATATTAATCACCATCTAATGAGATTAATGGGGTTTTCATGCAGACTTTCCAAAATTATAATATTCAATGACTTTAATATGTGAATTCAAATGTAAGATGACACTTTTCTGGAGGGGAAAAAATGGAAATAGCAATTTAGTATTTTTTTGTTGTTTGTTTTGTTTTGATTTATTTTTCTTTTTTAATCTTAGTTTAAGGAAGCTCTATTACACTGCATACTAAAGAGTTCTAAATGTAAGGTAGTTTTATGCACAGAGTGATCTGCCTTTAGATGTAAAAATAAAGGGGAATCTACAGTTAATGACACAATTTTTAATAGACTAAAGTATTCTTCACATTATATTAGACCAAGTTAAATAATATGAGAAATGATTTACATGTATTTTCCCAATTGTCAGTGATTTCTGTTCACTAATAATACCTCATTTGTCTTTGAAATTTTCATGGGGAGATATGGCAGGTAGCCTATGTTGAAATGACCTAGATTAACTCAATATGCCTAGATTAACACAATATGTACACCTTTATATGATGTAATTTTCTCAAAGCTAAAAAAGAAAAAACATTTTTCATTGATGTTCAGAGCTTCCTTAAATTGAAAGAAACAATGACACTAATGGGTTTTGAACTCAAAACTAAACAATTATAATGCATATAATCTAGAAACCAATTTTTTGTATAAGATTGTGCATTGTCATTAATAATCCAAGATTGTCACAAAATGGATACAACTGTATTCAGTTAGATTGTTAATAATTTTAGGTGTAATGTTACGTTATACATACCAATTTGACTTATTAATAATAAAGCAGTTTGGCAAAGTTTTAAAAAAGCTACAGGTAATTTAAGTATTGATAGCTGTTGTAACTGTGTGACTAATAGTCTGTTTGACAACACTGTATTTGTCTACAGTAATTGTAGACAGCTATTGTAACCGTGTGACTTATAGTCATTTTGTCAACACTGCGTCTGTCTACAGTAATTGTAGACAGCTATTGTAACTGTGTGACTTATAGTCATTGTGTCAACACTGCATTTGTCTATAGTAATTGTAGACAGCTATTGTAACTGTGTGACTTGCAGTCATTATGACAACACTGTGTTTGTCTACAGTAATTGTAGACAGCTATTGTAACTGTGTGACTCATAGTCATCATGACAACACTGAGTTTTTCTAGAGTAATTGTAGACAGCTATTGTAATTGTTTGACTAATAGTCAGTTTAACAGCACTGAGTTTGTCTAGAGTAATTGTAGACAGCTATTGTAACTGTGTGACTTATAGTCATTATGACAACACTGTGTTTGTCTACAGTAATTGTAGACAGCTATTGTAACTTTGTGACCTACAGTCATTAAGACAACACTGTGTTTGTCTACAGTAATTGTAGACAGCTATTGTAACTTTGTGACTTATAGTCATTGTGACAACACTGTGTTTGTCTACAGTAATTGTAGACAGCTATTGTAACTGTTTGACTAATAGTCAGTTTAACAGCACTGAGTTTGTCTAGAGTAATTGTAGACAGCTCATTATGACAACACTGTGTTTGTCTACAGTAATTGTAGACAGCTATTGTAACTTTGTGACCTACAGTCATTAAGACAACACTGTGTTTGTCTACAGTAATTGTAGACAGCTATTGTAACTTTGTGACTTATAGTCATTGTGACAACACTGTGTTTGTCTACAGTAATTGTAGACAGCTATTGTAACTGTTTGACTAATAGTCAGTTTAACAGCACTGAGTTTGTCTAGAGTAATTGTAGACAGCTATTGTAACTGTGTGACTTACAGTCATTAAGACAACTCTGTGTTTGTCTACAGTAATTGTAGACAGCTATTGTAACTTTATGACTTATAGTCATTGTGACAACACTGTGTTTGTCTACAGTAATTGTAGACAGCTATTGTAACTTTGTGACTTATAGTCATTGTGACAACACTGTGTTTGTCTACAGTTATTGTAGACAGCTATTGTAACTGTGTGACTTATAGTCATTGTGACAACACTGTGTTTGTCTACAGTAATTGTAGACAGCTATTGTAACTCTGTGACTTACAGTCATTGTGACAACACTTTGTTTGTCTACAGTAATTGTAGACTGCTATTGTAACTGTGTGACTTATAGTCATTGTGACAACACTGTGTTTGTCTACAGTAATTGTAGACAGCTATTGTAACTGTGTGACTTACAGTCATTGTGACAACACTGTGTTTGTCTACAGTATTTGTAGACAGCTATTGTAACTGTGTGACTTATAGTCTTTATGACAACACTGTGTTTGTCTACAGAAGACACTCTCTTTATACTTTAAACACTGTATAAAATAGGAATGTTACTTTGTTAAGTGTGTATTATTTAATTGGGGGGGGGGGGATTAAAAGACATATTGATGAAATTGTTAAGTCAATGTAAAAGATAAGCAAATGATGTGATGTATGTTTACCGATTATTTATGTTCTGTTACAGATTTACCCAAGATTCCACATCGCCTGGTAGACATATATGTGATACAGCCAGTTCTATGCCACTACTGTGAGTATTCTATCTTGAGTGTATATGTGTACTTGTACAGTTAATCCTGCTTTTAATGCCCTAGTAAGAGCCAGTCTCATTTTCCAGATACCTATAAGAATCCCTTCATCTTATAATGACAGGTGAATCTGTATATTTAATCAACTAGTCAAAACCAAGGAAAACACATCTAAAATGTGTGACTTGATGTGTTTTAATGTAAGCCACTCTCTTTTAAACATATATTAATTCAGACAGCTAGGTCAGGCAATCCTGACCCAGTTTGATTTTTTTTTTCAGGACCTTTCCCCAGGCTAATACAGTATATACTAAATACAGAGATAGTGATATTATTTATCAGTAAAATAGACCTCGTTTATATAAAATAGACCAATACTTCCTCAGTAATTATACTTACCTGATACAGAGCAGTCCAGACAGATATCTACATACTGGGCTTCTGACTGTATGGAACATTGTTTTCAACAAAAAAGATCATGAAACAGGGAGATGGGTTATAAGTTGTAACTTATTGTACAAGTATTCACTAACATAGTTAGAGAGGAACTATTCCCCAATAGAGGAAGTGTCTCGCTAAACCTCTTTACAGAAATGAAAAACATTTCCGTTTGCAGGAATTTTTTCCTATTGATAGTGTGTGTTCTTGGAAGCTACAATTTATATCAGAATTTCTATTAAAAAAAATGAAATTATTTGTTTAAATTATGTAAGATCCTATATTGAAAAGGCCTTGACATTTCCATTCTATTCCCCATTATTCTGGGTGACTTGGAATCTAGAGATTGAGGGAGTCTGTGTTTTCGTGGGAAAGTGGGCTATATGTATATGCTATTCCCTGTTATTCTGGGTGACTTAAGATCTAGGGTTTGAGAAAGTCTTATTTTGTCATGTTTGTGGGAAAGTGGGGAATAGATAAGATAAGATAATTTTATTTTCCAGTTTTGGGCCCAGAAGGCATACAAGCTTTTTACAATGAAAAGATAGAAAGTTCTAAATGAAAGGTTACATACACACAGATAAACACACACACATATATACATGCATATAATATATGATATAATCCATAAAAGTAACTTTAGGTGCAGCAGTTGGGGTTATCAAACTGCAAATTGACATGTGGTCATAAACCTGTATTAACAATGTATGGGGAATATGTATATGCTATTCCCTGTTATTCTGGGTGACTTAAATAGGATCTAGGGGTTGAGGGAGTCTTATTTTGTGGGAAAATGGGGGATATGTATATGCTATTTGAAGTAACTGACTAATCTGACTTCTACATATATTTTCTGAATAAGAGACTTTTAAGGTAAGCTCAGTTTTGTTTTTAAGACATTAATTACACATTGAATGTAGGTTTATCTTTAGAAACCAGGTAAATTGCTGACCTGGCATCTTTTTAAATAACTTGATCAATATTCAAGGCTTGAGTAAATATTTTTATATGCATTAAACAGTAAGAATTGGGTTCTTCTCTGGCACAGTGAGTACATTAGTAGACAGACTCACACCCTGTATATGTTGACTACTGATGAATTTAAGTCTATATATAGTAACAGATTTAGTCCTTTTGACTATTTCAGGTGATTGAAAGTTGATACTTTTCCTTATTAATTATTTTAACTGCTGTACTTGTGTGATGTGTGAACATTGGTGATCTACAGAATTAGGTGAAGATAACAGTAAACTACTACTGGTTTATTTTTGACAGGTGACGATTATATGTGGGGATCCAAACAGGTCGGCAAAAAGTGTGAAGGTACAAAATACAAACTGATTAATTACAAAGCTGAATACTTGATTGAGCTCCTGATTTTTGACCTAATTAACTGAAATATGAAAAAATATGTGTTCATATTATATTTTATCATGAGCTTGTTGAATAATATTGTATTATAAAGAAGTTGAACAACCTGACAGCACAAGGATAACTGTGTAACATTGTGTAAGATCTGTAACAAACCTGAGGAGAACTCTTATAATGGCTCTCTTACTTGTCTTAAGCTGATTTAGTTTCCTCTGCATATGCATTCTGATCTACTTCCATAGCATGGCAGTATGCATATAGATGTTGTATTCTCTTGTAGGATGTGGAAAACATTGTCACAATGAATGTTGGAATGCCCCAGAAAATGCTGACTGTCACCGAGAGAGAGTGACCAATCCACCTGTTACCTATGACAAAGAACAGGTAATGTTTAAATGACAATAACCAGATTCCCTTGTTTATCTAGAGTCTATGACCTACCTTCCTGTATATATGTAAAGAGTTCCCTGATTATACCCCAGAGTCTATGACCTACCTTCCCTGATTATATCCTAGAGTCTTTGATCTACCTTCCTGTAAAGGTAAAGAGTTCCCTGATTATAGCCCAAAGTCTGTGAACTTCTTCCCTGAATATAACAAAGAGTCTATGACCTACCTTCTTGTATATGTAAAAGAGTTCCCTGATTATACCCCAGAGGTTATGACCTACCTTCCTGTATATATGTAAAGAGTTCCCTGATTATACCCTAGAGTCTATGACCTACCTTCCTGTATATATGTAAAGAGTTCCCTGATTATACCCTAGAGTCTATGACCTACCTTCCTGTATATGTAAAAGAGTTCCCTGATTATACCCTAGAGTCTGTGACCTACCTTCCTGTATATATGTAAGAGTTCCATGATTATACCCCAGAGTCTATGAACTACCTTCCTGTACAGGTAAAGACTTCCCTGATTATATCCAAGAGTCTATGAACTACTTTCTTGTAAAAGGTAAAGTATTCCCTGATTATACCCCAGAGTCTATGATCTACCTTCCTGTAAGGTCAAGAGTTCCCTGATTTTACCCTGGAGTCTATGACCTACCTTCCTGTATATATGTAAAGAGTTCCCTGATTATACCCTAGAGTTCCCTGAACATTGCCTAGAGTATTCAAGTAATATAACATGTTTTCAGGTAAAGGTATATTATCTTACCTCCAAGCAGTGCTAAATTTTTGCCCAAAGCCAGTGACCTTTTTCTCTGTTTAGGTAAAGATTGCCTTATCACCTTGAGTTAATGAACTATCTCCTTGATAGAAGTATCAGTTATTAAATAAAGTCAATGATCTTCTTAAATTATAGATCAAATGTAACACATTATAGTAGTAGACATTTGTATTCCTATGTTCATAGAAATTGTCTTATCTGAAAAATTGCAGATTAATGATTCTTTTTAGGAGTTAAATGTATCTTCACTCTATAGTTATCATGGAAGTAGTCTAATGTACACAAAAATTGTACAAGTGTATGTAACTTATCATAAAAATAAATGATCATGATTTGTTTTAGTAGTTTTCTACACTTTTGACCTATTAAGAAAGGTTTCTCTTACACAGTGGCCTAGTTTACATAGCCTCCAAACCAACAAATAGGAAATGTCGAACACACAAGGTTGTCATGAAAAATGTTCCATATGCTGAGATTATGCAATTGTGTTAAAAACCAGCATTTGATATGTCAGATATGAGCTGTGATATACAGCAAATCCTGGCACTAGCTTCCAAACTTCCAAGTTCTGCAATATTTTACAGCTCTTCTGTCCTGAGAGGTAGATAAAGCATTCCCTGCTGTATAGATTGCTAGATTCTTTAGGTGACAAGAGACAGATGTAATGGGTTCCCCGCTTAGTTACTTGAGCCTCCTTCACTTATTTTAAGTATAGCTTCAATAATTTCCTCCCCCACTTCACTGCTAGAAATAAGTAGATTTTTATCACCCAAAATCTTTGATGTAAATTTTCGTCTCTGATTTTTGGTTCATTATGTAATTGTTATGAAATCTTGGTAAAGGGTTCTGTATTCCACCCAAGGTCATATTTTCATTTTTTTTTTAAAAATTGTTCTACATTGAAGTGTTTTCTACAAATTTCTCACCCAGAATATTATTTTCTTCTTTTTTTTTTTAGCCAATTGAGAAGTGGAGCAATCGTAATGTAGTAGACCTTCTAGCATGTCTCAACCTCTACAGATATGCCCAACTATTCAAGGACAAGAAAATAAACGGAGCCCAGCTCAAAGCTATGAGCAAGGAAGACTTGCAGGTAGGTAGTGATGGCATGAATTGTACAGTCATTTTGAGGAAGGGAGATGATGGATGGGTTTGAAAATTTAATGCACCCCAAAGGCACAGAGACAATGTAGTTAATGTATCTACTGAAAAGAAATGCATATTCAGCAGATGATTTTGCAGTGACATTCTTTTTTACTTTGTATAGTGGAACCTGCCCCCCCCCCCCCCCCCTAAAAAAAAAAGTGGAAAAAAGGGGCAGTGTTGAGTAATTGAAGAAAATTATTTTAAAGAAATCATCTTTCATGTGTGATATGCATGCAGTAGTAAGGGAGAAGTAAAAAGTTGTATAATCTACAGCACTTTGCTAAGTACAGTGTTAGGTTATGTATCTTACTGCAATGAGATGGACTTAAATTTTTAAAAAGAAGGGGGAAGAATTGAATGTGTTGATACAGGTGACTCTAGATGTCTTGAACTTGGATCTTTCAAAGTTTACAATCTCTTAAAGTTAGGCCCTTGTCCCAAATGAATTCTTTCTTTTGTAATTCAAGTAAATGTACTTACTCTCAAAACTTGAGAATTTGGGAATTATTTTTGAAGTCCCCTTATGTAAAATCCTTAATATTTTACACTTAAAGGTCTACAGGTAAAGATGACACCAAGCTTTCATCAATACGGGTCATCCTAATTAGTGATGTGTGAATATCTACATTAGTGTTAAATGGGTTAATTGGATATTTATGTAAGTTATACATCACTTGTAGATACATCTCATGATTGTTAATTGAATTAATTATTGAGACAGGAAGCTTACTACTCTCAGTACTGTAAATCTGGAAATTTTTACGTTTTTGCGAATCTGGATCAAAAGTCTGTTGATTAATTTTTACGCTTAAAATTTTTGCGAATCATCATTTGAACTAAAATGTAAAAAGCTATTAAAATTGTCTTAAACATTTGTAAGTTACGCATGTACATACAATAAATTACGAATAATCATAAAAAAATATTAAACTACACCAATGATCAATAATCAGATAAAAATATTAGAAAAGATAAATCATCCAAAGTGTTGAAAGTTTTCATAACATTTTCATAAATCATACATGTACATAAAATATATATAATGATGTAATCTTTAAGTAATCTTTAGATAAAAACATTTTTTGTTGATTTATTTTTAAGAAAAATATTTTTGCGAATGCAATGCATGCGCAAATTTGCTAAAAATTTATCTACAGCAGAAATTTTCATATTTACGGTATAAAAGAAAATAAAACATATATGATAATATAGAATGTTACAGATCAAAGACATTGCTGTGTTCATTTTCTTAAATGGGACAAACCTTCCAAAAACAACAAGTGAAAATCCTAGTTTATTATCTGAAAACTTTAATTTACACATGCTCCAGTTTTCTACATTCCTTTGGTATTACTGTGATGTTTTTAATACTTTTTGCATGAAATCAATCATAAATGATTCAAAAGAACTCTGAAGTTATCCCCTATCAACAAAGTTGGATATATATACAATATATGATAACAATAAGTGATTAAATAGTCAGGTGTCATGAAGTAGTCAGGTCTCATGAAGTAGTCAGGTGTCATGAAGTCGGGCATGATGAAGTAGTCAGGCCTAATAAAGTAGTCAGGTGTCATGAAGTAGTCAGGTGTGATGAAGTAGTCAGTGGCCTGTTCAACAGAGCGAACGTTCGCGAGCGCTCGCGAATATTTCTGTTGGAAAGATAAAGGAATTTTTCTCGAGCGCTCGCGAACGTTCGCTCTGTTGAACAGGCCTCAGGTGTCATGAAGTCAGGCATGATGAAGTAGTCAGGCCTAATAAAGTAGTCAGGTGTGATGAAGTAGTCAGGTGTGATGAAGTAGTCAGGTGCCATGAAGTAATCAGGTGATATGAAGAAGTAAGGTGTTATGAAAAAGTCAGGTGTTATGAAAAAGCCAGGTGTGATGAAGTAGTCAGATGTGATGAAGAAGTCAGGTGTGATGAAGAAGTCAGGCAGAGGTGTGGAAAACTGCTGGTCATGCCAGCAAAACCGGCAAAAAATGCCTGTGACTGGGTAAAAATGCTATTGATGTTGGTCTAAATGACCAGCCCCTTTTTGGGTTAAACTTTTTTGTTTTTCCATTTATCATCGGCGCACTTCCCAGCTTAATTATCATACCTTATATACGATTGTGTAATACTTTTCCTTTACACGAGATCGAGGCTGTAAATGAAAGCGAAACCAGCATGGTCTCCTGACCTGTTAAATTTACAAGTGGGGCAGAATTAGGTAGAAAACGTAGAGAAACAGATAAAGACAAGCTAATTATGAAAAATTTCAACAGAAAGAATTCTCAAGCACAGTTGGGGAAAGTGGTAAATCTAGTACTTCCGACTGTATAACGAAGTAGTCAGGTGTGATGAAGTAGTCAGGAAGGATGAAGTAGATAGATATAATGAAGTTGTCAGGTGGGATTAAGTAGTCAAGCATGAAGAAGTCAGGTGATGAAGTAGTCTTATGTGATGAAGTCATCAGGTGTGATGAAGTAGTCAGGTGTGATGAAGTAGTCAGGTGTGATGAAGAAGGCAGACATGATGGAAATAGTCAGCCGTGTTGAAGTAGGCAGACATGATGAAGTAGGCAGATATGATGGAAATAGTCAGCCATGATGAAGTAGGCAGGCATGATGTGGTAGTCAGGCATAATAAACTAGGCAGGCATGATGTGGTAGTCAGGCATAATAAACTAGGCAGGCATGATGAGGTAGTCAGGCATAATAAACTAGGCAGGCATGATGAGGTAGTCAGGCATAATAAACTAGGCAGGCATGATGAGGTAGTCAGGCATAATAAACTAGGCAGGCATGATGAGGTAGTCAGGCATAATAAACTAGGCAGGCATGATGAGGTAGTCAGGCATAATAAACTAGGCAGGCATGATGAGGTAGTGAAGTATAACAAAGGGGACAGCATGATGATGTAGCAAGAGGTGAGGAAGTAGTCAGGTTTGATTGGAGAAATCAGCTGTGATGAATTAGTCATATGTGATGAAGTAGTCAGGTGTGATGAATTAGTCATATGTGATGAAGTAATAAGGTGTGATGAAGTAGTCAGGTGTGATGAAGGAATAAGGTGTGATGAAGTAATAAGGTGTGATGAAGTAGTCAGCTGAGATCGAAGTAGTCAGGCATGATAAAGTTTTCAGGTGTAATAAACTATAAGGCCAAAAAAAATAATAGTCTTGTTTCCTGCTACCAGCCTGAAAAAAACAGGGTAGGTAGGTAGGAAAATTATTTTATTTTATATTTTTATTTTATTTTTTTCCGACGGCATTTTTTAGGATATGAACTAATACAAGATCAAATTAAACATGTCACAGGTCAATATTGTCTCTATTAAAATAAAACTTTCATGTCTTTTTTTTGCACAACTCAAGTGGTATTTTATGAAAGTCCATGTTTAAAACAAGAATTTCATGAAATGCTTGTTTTGTGTTAACACAGAAACCAATTACGGTGACAGATCCATGAAATTCCAGAAATTCACGATTTTTTTTCTCCCAAAACTTAAAAAAAACTTTAGGGTCGGGTGCAAAAAAATAGGATAGGTCGGGTAGCAGGAAACAAGACTATTATTTTTTCTGGCCTAAGTGGACCTAGAGTTATTTTAATCTTAACCATCAGTTCTAAAACCATTTCATCTGCTAATGTATTGACACAGCCTGATCAGTCAGAAAATTGACTCTCAGTGCAGGAAGGTCCATTTCCTGGCACTGTCATGGCAACATGTCTGATGTCCGTGTGTAATAGAGTTTGAAATATCAATAATGTGAATCTCTTTTAATGTATTAATTTTGTACTTTAGCATGCAATTACCTTGCATTGCATACTTGAAAAGCTCTGCTGCCTACCAAGATGCCATGTTGAATAGATAAACAGATTTCCCACATACAAAGATGTATTTTGATGGGAGAAAAAATATCCGATTTTTAGACCTTTGTGAGGGCACCTGTTATACAGGCTAGTGTTTACTTTGGAAAAATAAGGGGGAAATATGTTTTTATCCTTGAACATTGCTATTGAAGTTCTGAAGAACATCTGTATATATTTGTGCTTACAATACATTATGTTTTACCAAACAGTCAGTGATTTTTTTCATTTAAAACAATATTCATTATGAAGTCTTATTCAAATTAGATAAGAAAAACAGTATCATTAATTTACAAGATACAATTTACTTTATAACCAAATATTAGGTTTGGGAGAGGTTTTCGTGATACAACCAAACATCGCAACAATACAAATACTTGTTTAAATTTTAAAATGTATATTGTACAATGTAAAGTACATACATTAGTTGTTAGAGTATGAACAGCTGGTGTTGTGTTGGTATGTTGGTGAACATTGAGTTCTATTATAGACAAGTTATAGTGTAACCTGGAAGTTGATGACTGTAAGCTATATGTATGTCTAGAGAAGGGTGATTGTCAGGGGTGTTGTGTGTAATTTGTGACAGGAAAACCAAGTCTTGCTGCTAAGTAGTAACTGTCTGTAGAGGCAGCGGATGTGTGGCAGAGGAAATTACAGCTTACTGCCACGCCTGGGGCCTCAAACAGGGGGGATCTTTATAATGGGAACACCGTGAAGGGATGGATTGTAACACTGTTGTATAAAATAACATATAAACTCTATAATAGCATATAGTGTACTAAAAGTGTCATTCAATTCGATGGTAAGAATATATTTTTTTCCTGGTGGTCAATGAGATACAGGGAGATCTGGGTTGTTATTGATGGCAGGTTGAACTAGCTATGAACTGGAAACAAGAGAGATGTGGTAATCTAACTGTAGAAGCCAGCTGTGTTCCTCACTAAACCTATTATCTCTCACCAATCACACAGATCATCCAGAGAAAAAAAAGTCAGTTTTAAATTAATGATCAATATTTCCTCAGTCTAATGATAGCCTGAGCATAAAAAGAGAAAATGACCCAGTACCCGCAATGTGAACTTCGACCCTTCACCGTGATTGTTCATAGTTCGATGATGAAAAAAGAAATATTTCATACAGCATTGTGCCATTGAATGTTCAGAAGAGAGAGAGATGAAAGAAGATGATATGATCAGCATGTGTTGGATGTAGGTAGAGTGCCTGTACTCTGGTGGTGTACTTTACTTGGAACACTCGGCAGCCTGTTGACTCCGTCAGAGTCTGTGATCTCTGATCAATCACTATTAATAAAACAGGAGAAGTTTTTGTTTCTGAGAACTTGTAATCTACCAGAGATAATAAGTGCTTTGGAATTAAATCAGTAATTTTTTTCTAAATATATTAGAACCAACCCAAAACAAACATTTTTTTGTTTTGAAAACTACATACCTGAATTAAAAAAAAAAAAAATCATTCACAGTAGGGTTGTCAATGAGTAACCAGTTACTTGAGTACTTGTATCAAATACTGAAATTGGTATTCAAGTATTTGAATGAAATAAAACTATGCATGTAATTTATTTTTCATTTTAACTTTTATTTGTAAAGCATATTCTACTTTCCTAAGTCATGAAATCATATGGTACTGTTATCTCATTTAAATAGCTTGAATTTAGTACACTGTATATATGTTTTGACAATTAAAGTCATTAGCACCTTGGTTATTGGCAGCACATTATTTTGTCTATATAGGTAGGCTGCAGGGGCAAACCATGATTGGAATTCACAGTTCACATTAATGCAATAAAACAGAACATGGATTCTTTCATTAATCAGTAGCAAAAATGCTTCCATCTACTGAAATCTGGCAATGTTTTAAATGAACCAGGAATTATAAAATCTATAAAATGTGAAATATCTGAATTTACTTAAACCAGAGGAACAAGTAATATGTTAAATTATTTACATATCAAGCAAAGTAACATCAAAGGTACAACGTACTGTTTAAAACTTTCTAAATTCTCCACCAGTCAAAAATTTGTCAGGCTAGAAATCTGATTATTAAATGCGAGCCATATAACTGTCGTGATAGTTCAGTTTACATGCCAATTCAAATTGTTAAATCATGAACATTGAAATAAGTAAATGTATAAATTTATGTTTGATTTGATACTATTATTCCTTCCAAAGTAGCATTTGTTTATCATAATTATGTGCATAAATATATTCAAAATATTTTGATTTTGTCTTGTTCACTTATCTCTTTGTTAAATGTCAACATTTATACCCTGAAATTAAGACAACCATAAGATCAATGAACGATAGTAAAGATTGATGTAAATTTTTATTTCTTTTTTAATAATGACCAAGTACTTGAGTATTTAATTGAAATGCCAAGCAAGTAACTGGTTACTAAAAATTGCTCGATTTGACAACCCTAATTACTTAATAAATATGTGGGGGGGTTTTGTGTGTGTGTTTATGGATCTTAAAAATTCTAGTGGTTATAAGATTCAATTTAGGGAAAGGGTAGTTGTAAGATATAGAATGGTTCTCAGTTTGGCAGACTTCCTTATAATTTTGTCTATCCTATCTTGTTCATTTTATAACCATATTTTCAGAAATAGAATGTCACAAAATATTCTGTGATGAACGGAGGGACAGGTTGCCATGAAGATTTAGTGTCATTAGTGACACCTGTGGTGCCCCCTGTAATGTCACCTTGTCTCCGACTCCTGGCTGTGGTTGCCACGGAGATTAAATAGCTATCTTAAATAAGGTCCACTCTAAAGACACCTGTCAGAAGAATCACCAGCTGTTCATTGAAACCTAGGGAAAAAATTATTCTAGGAGCACATTGACAAAACCTGCAATCAGCATATATGTAGATCAGAGACAAAGTCCGGTGAAGCGCTCTGACATGACATTGTTCTAGTTGCAATGTGAGGTGGATCCCACAAGGTCAGAAAGGTCATGGGGTAATGTGTGGTGCTCAGTGACAGGTGGCCCCAACATCTGTGACCCTGCTCTGACCTGCATTATTTCACCTGTGACCAGAGGTATGGCCCATATTCTGCTTGTACCTGCTGACTTTTTAAACCACCATATCTGTAGAAAATCTTTAATATTATCTGCATGAACAACAGCCTGAACATTGTCTTAGGTATGGGGTTCAAGGTGATCTGTAGAAATGCCAGTATATATTTTCTGGTATTTGAGATCATTCAGGTGTCATGGCTGTGTTCCTAGTTGATGTGTACACAGTGTCATTAAGGAGCGTGAGATCTGATGCTAAAGATAAGGCTAAGGTTAATCAGTATTAATTGTCTTACTTTGTCTTTAATTACTGGGTAGATCAGTCCAGGATCTGATTTAATTCTGGAGATAATAATTAGGCCTTAGTTTGGACATGTGCTGGGTCTTTCTAGACTTTAGATTGTACTCTGTGATCCTCTTTGATGTTGGCCTATCTCCTCATGCAATCCTGAAGCCATTGGTAGAAACCATATATACACGCTAGAGAATGAGACCTTGAGAACATCACAGAATTAACACTCCTAGTTCTACCAGTCCTGTGTATGAGTGCTTACATGAGTGTTACATTGAAACAAAGGGTGTTACACATAGCCAGTCTGGAGGTCCTTGTAAGCTAGGTGTTCAATAATATCCAACAGTTCCCTTTTGAGAATTGTGTCAGTTTCACTTAGACCCTAAGCCAAGGCTGGATTTTGTTTAATTATTGATTGAAGAATATGTACTTTAATGAAGGGATACACTGTACCATTTACACTGTCTGATTTTTGTAGACTATGCAAAAAGGAATCTGAATTAAACCCAGCACTATATATTACAATGTTTCATCACAGCACCAAGTGTGTTTATTATATAGCATGAATTACAGACAAAAAGTTGTATATTCTTTGGTACTTAAACTGATTTTATTAAAAAAAAAAAAAATAAAAAAATAAATAAATAAATAAAAACCACCTCACCTGTTTCAAACAATCATGAAAGTATTTGGGGGGGGGGGGGGGGGGGGGTTATGTTATGTTAGCAGGGGATGCTCACTCCTCCATGGCACCTGATCCCACCTCTAAATTTTTGATGTCCGTGTTTACTCTGCTCCAAATTTGTATCGTTTCATTGGACTTACGAGATTGAATACTGTTCGTTATCTTCATATTTCATGTTTAAAAGTATATATACTCTCAACTGCTAATAATGACTGATTCTGACCTTCATTTGTAGGACATTGGAATTAAAGACGATTTCCATCAGTCTGCACTGTTGGTTTGTTTTGATGAACTTTGTGGCCGAGACACAGATGAGGTAATGTACAATCCGTGCTCTGACTACTAGAAGATAATCCAAGTACTGAAATTTTCTACCCCATTTTATTTTCGCCCCTTTTGCCCTACTCACAGGTGGGTGAATTTAAAACGGGGCGAATTCAAAAAACACAGTATAATTTCTTAAACATGAATTTAAAATGGGACAAAATTGTTTGCAAGTGTGGAAGAGCGAAAATAACATGGGGCAAAAATAACCCTGTGTACAGTAGTAATGATAATTTATTATTGAAAGTTTAATTTTATTTTCTTATTTTGGTTTATCTTGCAAAAGATAACATTGTAGAAGAGCTGATCAAGTCAGTGTACAAGTAGTACATGCTTTAGAGTTCTAGAAATTATATTTGTTTGATTAAAACTGAAAAAAAATGCTTTGTCTTATCATATTAGCATTGAAAATTATGAAAAAATTGTGCAACGTTAAAAGAATATGATACAGATATATTGAAGAATAATTGATAAATGCTGACCTAATGAGTCACTGAAGCAAAGAATGTAGGTTACAGTGAAGCATGCTTCAGACTAATTAGAATTCACCAACCTGCCCCAGATTTTCCTAAAAAAGAGGAAGGAAAACTGAAAAAAATTATTTTTATATGGTCTAATGGGCTTTAAAAAGAGAGATGGGAAGAAATACTAAACTTTTAGAGAATATAACAACCTGATCACAGAACACTTAAGAAGTTTCTGGTAGGGACCACACTTGCTCTTTGCAAAGCCAATGAATAATAATAATGATTTTTTTTAAAATTCATATTGTATATATAAATGGAGCAACTGTATACTAACTACAATCTAGGTTGTGTTTCATAACATCCCAGATAACTGATAATGTTGCTAATTACATTTCTTGTCGATCCTGTTCAGAAAAAAAAAATCAATGTTATTATTCATTCCCTGGCTAAATATCTGCCATAGGAACAGGGTGGTGATTAGCTAAATTAAGGACTGATTATTTTTAGCAGTGTTTCCCTATTTAATCAGTCCTCTCCTCTCTTTATGGCCATACCAGGCTGTCTGCATGCTGAGTAGTGTCATCAAATCACCCAGCTAAGTAGGTCAACACTTTGTAATTAATGGCCTACAGGGTGGCAAATAATCCATTATATCCCTCAGGCAGGGCCCCAAAGCCCTGATCTAGGTTAATAGGACAGCCAGTGATTGTTCACAATAAGTGCTTGATAATCAATAAGACACTGGTATAACACCCCTGTATCTTGTCTGTGTTCACTGTTTGTTCAGGGAATTAAGTCAGGATTTTGACCCATTTAATGTTTGTCCTACTTAGGCCATAAAAACCACAAAAACCAGATAAAGAAATCAAATCTGTATAAATAAAAATTAAGCTGTACAAAGGACAGAGTTTTCCCTTGAGGCCTCTCGCTGGGATTTTGTAGACCATTATACAGCTTTGTAGGCCATTATACATTTAGCCTCTCTCAGGTGAAAAGCTGAATTTTACCTATGTATATGTGCCTGGCATTCTGACAATGCTTGCCACTGCTCTGCAAAGGCATGACCTTTTTTTCCCTGGCAGGCAGCCAAGTGTATTATTATAGCTGGAGAAAATCTAGGTTAAGCAGAATGGCTGCTGGTTGGCTGAGGGTTTGGCCTAGATAATCAGTCAGCCACAAAGGGCTCCCGTCTAATGTTCATATCTCAACCTAGCTAGAGCAGTGTAGTGTGTGTGCTATAAACGGAGAGGAAAAATCTCAGTCATGGATTTTCTCTATTGATACTTAGTGTGTTATTCCTTTCATTTATTGGAAAAACTGTTAACACATAAAAGTGGAAGGATATATTTGCTACATATTATTTTTGTGGATGAGGTTTTTGTATGGAATAGTGGATGGGTGGAAAAGTGGAATAAAACATGTATGAATACACTCCACCAGTCTCCACATCTTGTTCTTCATCATGTCAGTTTTGTGATTTTTATACACAGCAACCTTATGCCACAAGTCTGCCACCACACGGCACCTGTCCTGTCACAGAAATTGAAGGTAAGTCCAGTCTCACTGATCATTTCCTTAAAAAAATGGTTTTCTTTGAATTGACAAAAAGCAGTGAAGAATTTATTTCAATTGAATGAAATTTAATTCTTTAAATGAATTACAATATAGAATCTGATAGAGAACTCTGACGCCATGCTATGCTCGGTTGTTCACCTAATACCTTAATCGTGCCAGATCATCTTGGCACACACAGAATTAAAACATGAGGCCAAGAGTTTAAATTGCCAAAAGGAAAAAACCCATGTTTTCAGACTACCTTTAATACTTGATTTTCCTCAAAAAATATGATTTTAAGATGTAAGCAAACTATTGTTTTCCAAGTTGAAATAAGCACCTAGCTGCTTGAGGTGTTGATATGATTTTGCTTGATCTATGAAAACAGTATCTTGGCACTGAAGTTTCAAACTTAAAACACACATATGATGCTGTTGAAATTGTATGGCATTCTGCTCAATGAGCTGTTGCCATGAAGGTGTCCGAAATACAGATATGTGCTGTTTTCTTACTTATGTAAAGGACCACACTTGAATGAGTTTTTCTTTAATGACTGAATCTTGCTTTAAAATTTTTAAGAAATGCTATGTGAGAAACAGTTTAATTAGTTTTATTAGACACAATGATGTATATTTGGAGGAGTTTTCAAAATATTTAATGATGGGAAATGACAGATTTTTACATTTTACTGCTTTAATTAATCTCGACGGTTTAAGTAATTTATATAAGTAATGTAAGAAATTTTTCTGTGAAACATTATTTCAATAATTAATAAGGCCTTCATGAATTAGGTTATGACTCATAAATATGCCAGGCTATTTGGACGATTGACGTAGATGCCATATATTTATAGATTTAGTATTGATGTAATGCAGATAGGTAGTTCCTATTATCGGAAAGTGTCGGATGTCATTAGGTGCCGATGAAGTGAATGTTCTGATATTTAATCTTCTGTGGACAAGGAAATATCAATGTGAAAAGGTCTTTTGAATCTGTCCCTAGATTCCAGAATGATTTGAAATTCTTTTAAATTTTGACAGATTTCATGAAATTGAACAAAAAATTATCATACACATTAATATGGACAAGTAATAACATCTCACCTATTACATTTTCTTTTTAAGCTGTTTAATTTGTAATTTTTCGAAGAGATTTTAGAGAATCACTGTAGTTATATTTTTACTTATATTTAGTGATGTACAGAAGAAAAGAAAACTTTACCTGAGTGGCTTAATTTTGTTTGACATTGAGTTTTAAATGTGACTCCGTTTTAGCTTCTGGGTGTGGCGGTGCTGGGGCCTCGGAGCAGCACCGGTTTTCTGAGTACAGCTTCTCCTCCATGCAGCGATGTCATCTCTGTGACAAGTTCCTTTATGGCCTGATTAGACAGGGACTTCAGTGTAGAGGTAGGTGGCCTGTTACCAGCAGTGTGTCTGGACAGTAATGTGTAGTCCCTGAGATACAAACTGTGAAGTCTGTGATAATCTTGGATCTGGATATTTTAACCAAATGTTGATTCTTTTTTTGTTCTATTTTTGACAGAGTGTGGAATGTGTTGCCATCGATACTGCTCAGCAACACATCAAACAGAGTGCAATGTGCCAAAGCTGGAAAGACTAAGGCGGCCTAGCTTTTCACAGAGTAAGTCTCTAGCATGGCTCCCAAACTTGTCTAAATTTGGTGGTTTTAACTTGGAGCTTTGGCATTAATCATTCTCTCTCTGACATATTGTAGATTCTAGCTTTGGGGCAGAGCTGTCTGAAGAGGTACCTAAATCTCAGTATGGCGCCCCCTGGGTTGTTGTCAAGTGCACAGAGGAAGTGGAGAAATGGTGTCGTAACCATCGTAAGGAGATTTTAATCAGTGTGCAATCAAAGATTTTTGGACAACATGTATATCTTTGAAAAAGAATAAAAAACAGGGAAGAAAAATATGCCCTTAGTATTTATATTCTGAAGAAATCCAGACATACACCTCGCACAGCAATAAATGTATATCATTTTTCGTCATCAACCATTTCCTCATTGCTAGAGCGGGAACAGTATTTGGCAGATTTTTTTCCCAGATAAAAAAGCATGCTAAAAATGCCATTTTTATGGCCTCCTTTAGGTTTTGCTAACATTAACATCCTTTTTTTTATTTTGATAATTAACAGAAGCAGAGTCTCTAAGTGTGTATAGAATGTTTGCCAAAACTGAAGAAATAAATGCCATCAAAATGGAGTTTAACATGGGTAAGTATTTAAAGCTTCTATTTAATGATTAATACAAGAACTTAATATGGAAGTGGATTTTTTCCTGTCTCAGTGTCATTCCATGTTTAATAATGTAATAGCTATGGGAGATATACCACTTTGAATGAGAATTTGTTTTATCTTTAGTAGATGATCCCTCCCAGATCAGTCTTGGTTCTCACAATGTCCACTGTGTGGCAGGGGTACTAAAAAAGTATCTGAGGGAACTCCCCAATCCTGTCATACCCGTGGAGATGTACCAACACTTCATTCAGGCAGCCCGTAAGTAACACTGATTAAAGGGAGGAAAGTTCTAGTCCCTTGACCAGTTCATGTTTTAAGCCTATCAACCTTACCTAAGATCAGAGAAAATAGAGATATTCTTACATTTCACCTTGTTAACAGACCACACACACAGCTCAGGGTCCCTGTGCGGTGAACCCTGGAGTGAGTGCGGGTCTCCTAAAATTCCCGACAATTCTGACACTGCCAATCACAGATCAAAGCCCACACTTCAACGCAGCAACAAAGAAACATTCCCAGAACAGTTTTATTTTCTGCTATTGTAAACTATTCAGTAATTAATGTATGTCCTTAAGCAGCCAATAAAAATGTAGTACACAAGTTAACCGAATTAAATTGGCAGTTGGTTTTGTAATTGTTAACAAAGAACAACGTTTTTGGTGGTTTTTCAAAGCAGCAGTGACCTAAAAAAAAACTGGTTCAGGTTTTAAAATACCTGTACAGAATGCCAGGTGAATAGAGAGAATACCTGTATTGTTCCTGACAGCATGTCTGTCTTAACTAATTAAACCGATGGAATTTCTAATCATGTGATCAATTTCCAGATAACCCCAGCACAAGGACCCTGTCTGACCTGATAGATGGGCTGCCCAGAGACCACAAGTCTACACTCAAGTTCCTGATGGCCCACTTCCTACGACTGTGGCGGATCCAACATGAGTCAGGGGTGGCAGATGGTTTAGACAAGCTTTCTCATGTCTTTTGTCACATTCTTCTCAGGCCGCCATGGGAAAGAATAATGTAAGTCAGGTTACTCTGCAGCAGCTTTTTTTTTTTACATTAAAAAAATTAAAAAACCAATCACAAATCATTTAGATGTCACACATAGTGTCTAAATGTTTTCATTTCTTAGAGATGATGGAGAAATTTTTGGGGACTTCCCAGATAATTTTATAATGCTAGACTATAGTTTAGGACCTACTGAAACTTCCACAGTAGACAGCCACGTAGAATGTGTTCTGTGATCGTCCTTAAGACTCTTACCAGCCTGATCTGAATAACAAAAGAAAAAAGTTACGTAACCTGACAAGTTTTATTTCTCTGTAATCATGTGTTATAATGACAAACTGACATTTAAAGATGCAGGTGGCCAAGAGGGAGATATTTTTAGCCACATCTTTTATTTGGTTTGTCTTTTAAATTAAAATTTATATGATAATCTTGGACGTGAATTTACTTCTAGAAATGCCATACATACTTCAATGTTTTAAGTAGAATACATTGAATGCTAATTCTTTGATCAGTATGTTCTTTGTTGCGCTGGATTTTTTCTGAAAATACACATCAGTAATCAGTCGGGCATGAATTAGGTCGATGTATTGCGCCCTAAAGGTAGAAAATCTTCACAAAAAGAAAAAAAAAATGATCTGTCAGTCTGACAACATTCTGTGTCTCTGTCACTTGTCTTGCATTGGTTGGGACAAGGATTTGAAATTTTATGATGAACAATCTAACCAAATTATCTCCTCATCAGATATCAGTTATCAGCTCTTGTTTAGTTAGTAGATCTGACTCTGAAGTCATGTGACCCCATCAGAAAAAAGGAAGTATGTAGATGATTTTGCTTCCCAGTTCTATCCATCACATACCACAAATTAGGAATTCTTCACCAGGACATAATATACTTTTATTTTTGTTTTAGAGAGATTGTGGAAAACACAAAACTTCACATTGAAATCTTTGAAGAGTTGCTCAAAAACGGCTCCTGGGGTGAAGTTGCACCTCCTACGCCACCACCCCAACAGCCAAGACCCAAATCGCCATTACAAGACACAACAATGTCTGCCCAGGAGAAACTCAAGGAGGCAGAATGGTACTGGGGAAAGATTTCTCGTGAGGAAGTGAATGAACTTCTTAGTGATAAATCTGATGGGCATTTCTTGGTCCGTGAGGCCACGACTCCAGGGGACTATACCCTGACCCTCAGAAAAGGGGGCACCAACAAACTGATCAAAATCTACCACAAGGATGGAAAATACGGCTTTGTGGAGCCTCTGACTTTTGATTCTGTGGTGGAATTAGTACATTTTTATAAAAATACCTCACTGGCAATTTATAACAAGACTCTAGATACCAAGTTATTACACCCTGTGTCCAACAGAAACCAACAGGTGGGTGTCGATTTTGTTACATGTTCTGTAATATGCTGTGTAAGGAATTTTGCTCATTGTGTGACAGTTAATGATCAGATGGAGACCCCCATATCTTCAAATATTCAGAGAGGAATTAATGCATGAAGTCATCTCCATTTTCATAATTAGACGGGAGAGAAATTCATTTGCAAGTATAAAGAGAAAAGTGGTCTGGTTTTATGATCTTATAATGGGAGACTTAATTTCACCAAATTTGCATTATTTTCTCCATTGGTGATTTACTCAGCAGGTAGTGCTTGTGCAGCCCTTGTTATATGTGGTTATGTAGGAAGAAAATATGATTTGATAAGGAAGGAAACTTGACTGTTTCATTGAGTTTTATAGGCCTTCTCTGGAGAGGAAATGTGAATGGTTTTCTGTAAATGATAATCAATATTGGCAACAAAGGTCAAAGTCCCATAGGTTGTACATGTATTGAGCATGGCTAGAGAAAGCCAGTGATTGGCTGAGGTCTGACTGAGTGCTGAGTTGTAGTGCTAATATCAGCACAGAGGAATATGGTCAGCTTTTAGATAACAGCTCTAGACTGAGACAGATTGTGAGATACACAACACAATGACCCATTTAGATAGCAAAAATCTGCACACAGACTGATAAACATGATAAACTGCAGTGATTTTGGTCTGAACTATTGTTGACATTAGTTTTTTAATAATCATCCCATTTTAAGGTGAACCTTAGACATATGTGCTGAGACATTTCATTTTGTTCAGATTACACAAATTAACAAAGCTTAGTAATTCAATCCGACATCCTAACAACAATTCACTGTTATCACACTGTCATCTGAGAAGATTAAACTCTTGCTTGTCATTTCTACTGTTAAAGGAGTGAAAGAAAATATATTGCTTGTTGTATGCTAATCTCCTACCTGACAAAATGAAACATACATACATCAAATTATAGTACTATAGATCTTATTTCAAAATGATTTTAATATAAATGTATTTTTTCTGTGTCACTGTTAGGTCTCCTTGTGACACTAGGCAGGTAGAGTACATTGTGTAATTACGAACATCACAAGATAAAGCTGACATTATTTAATTTCCATGTAATTAACACACAGTGATCTCCGGAGAGCTAGTTTAGGCGTATCTGACAGAGACAGTTCACCAAAGTCAGGACAATTTTCAGAATTATGCTCAATTAACACACAAATTATAAAATCAACTGTCAGCTGTTTAAAAATGTTAAATTATTCTCATGTGCGTGCTGTATTGAAGGCACTATCCTTCCAAGCTTATGAGCTGATAGTTTGATAATGGATATGACTTTGTAACCTTTCTGGACCAGGTTTAGTGTACTTGATTATCTGGGTCATCTAATTCTGACACATCTTATAATCTCTATGACCTAAATGTTCCTTAATCTTTATTAATTTCTTACTCCTACATTCAAGATTTTTTTTCTCACTAGCCTGTAATACAGTTTACGATTTGTGTGCTTTCACTGCTGGAGGAGGAGTGGTCTTAGATCAATATTATACTCTGTCTAGTTGGATGAGAATAGAAACAGAATTAAGAAAAACATCAGAGAATGGTTTCTGTTGTCTCAAGTGATGAAAAATGGTCCTGTTGGTTCTCAAAGGTTAAAACAATCAGGGTCCTTTAGGAGGGGTAAAATATATTTTGTGGAATTGAGAGCAATTTTTGGGAAGAGATATAAATGAGTATCATTACATGATTAAAATCATCTCACAAATTTCTGTACAATATCTGATACACACAATGAGCAAAATATTATTGTACCTACACATTGAAGATGAGGAAAAAAATTTAATGAATAATCCAGTTTGTGTGTGTGTGTGTGTGTGGTGGGGGGGGGGGGAGGGGGGGTTGTAAACGAGTTTGGCGATTCTGGTATTGTGTAGAAGTATTTAAGAAGAATGCTAAGTGTATGTGACTGTGTTGTAGGATGGACCTTCTCTCGTCGACAAAACAGAACAATTGGAGAAATTAAAACAAGTTCATAATGAACACCAAACTAAAATGGAGGAGTATGACCGTCTTTATGAAACCCACTCCAAACTGAATCAGGAGCTTCAGCTTAAACACCAAGCTCTGGACGCCTTCAAGGAGACAGTCATCGTCTTCAAGGAACAGATGGAGCTTCACAGAAGTCACCATGGCGACGTGCCAATGCATGAACTCCAAAAGTAAGAACAGTATCTCTGTCATCAAGTTTTTTATTGACAGCAAATTGTAGGTTCAGTTTTGCATCATTTAGGGGAATTTTAAACTGGTTTCTTTTCTTTTTTTGTGCAGACTAGCAGAGAATTATGAATTACTGAAGAGTCGTTGGTTAAGTATACAAGAGAGCAAACAAGCTTTAGAGATAGACATCAACAAAAAAACAGTGTTGAACCGCTCCCTAATCAGTGACATGAACAGTCTAAGACCAGAAATCAAGAGACTGCACAAACAGCGAGAGCAAATTCGCAAACTTCTGCAAGAGAATGGCATATCAATGGAGAGTCTAGATGATATTCTTGAGAACCAGCCATCCAACCGCAAAGAAGTGGGCATGAACACCAAGAAGATGAATCTGTGGTACGTGGAAGTCAGCAGACATGATGCCGAGAACTTGCTGCGAAACCAAAGAGACGGAACCTTCCTGATCCGACCCAGAACAGATGGGGACCAGTCCAGCAAGCATGCTCTGTCTATTATGTGAGTACACTTGATCTGTAAATGAGATCATCTTAATTCTAAAATGTGATAATTTTACAAAATAATTGTATTAAACAGCTCTTTGTAAGTATGTCGTAATATTTTCTTACAGGTGCAATGGTACCGTGGGACACTGTAAGATATACCAAAACAACAACGGTTGTTATGGATTTACGGAAGGAAACCTGGACAAGTCTTCACTGATAGAGCTAGTGGACCATTACAGTCGTGAGTCCTTGAAGGAGCACAATCCTAACCTGGATATTCGGCTCATTTATCCTGTGTTTGAGGGCCACGATGATAATTCAGGTGTTTACCTTCACATGCATCAAGACTGAGTCAGCACTGACCGCATAATCCAGAAAAAAAATCCTGCTACCCTGGCAGGTGCTACCCAATGTGTAATGTCTTTCATTATTGGTCGACCTACAGGGGTCACCATGACGACAAGAGACGTCTGCAGTAATTAGTGCTCAGTGAAATGTGACAGAATGAAACAATGGCAGATCGTGCAATGTCGCAGTACTTGGAGTTTACATGAACATCGCTGCGTTAAAAATGTGATATAATCCAAGAAAAAACACAAGACACTACAAATTAAGTGCTAGTCATACAAGTTCAATTGCTGAGCGATTAGTGTGAGAGAAGTTTGAGTGACAGAGAAGAGTGTGTGTTCTCAAAGGATTGAGGACTTTTAGTATTCAAATTTTTATATTGACCCAGCATTATATCATTTTGTTTTACTTCATCACTGGTGTCCTCTACAGTCCAGGACTGTTCTGTGACATTGTGTTTCAACTTAAACCTTCAGCTTCAGAGAAATTCTTTCCCTGTCGAGAAGTCAATTTACTCATAGGGCAAATGTTTAATTCTAGATGCAGTATATTTTATTGAGATTTTATTCTTTTAATTACAGCTGTTTTAAACTGACTTTGTAAAATGGCCCTTGGACTCCACTGACCAGTATCGTCATTGTAATCTGTTGTATGTTTGGACACCTCCAGGTGTCCCTCTTACATCACCAGTGGCTGGTGACAAATAAAATTATGTGCTTATGAACACATCTTGTTTTCTTTCTGTTAACTTTAGGTAAATAAATCTGATCTACCCATTAGTAAAGAAAAACATTTTTTTTTTCAGTTTAGCCTGATAGACAGTCTTCCCTGCTTAGGATATCATCACATTTATCTTCTTTATTTTTTTCTTCTTTTTTTTTTTTTTTTTTGTTGGTATCAGTTTGTTAGAAATAAGCAGAGAAGTCATGATCTCGTGTTATTGCCATGTAAAGCAATGAAAAGCATTTCACTAGTTGTGAATATTTCCAAACACCAACACATCATACTACACAGCTGCTACAGTACAGGCTGAAAATAAAACTGTAATACGTAATACATGATCAGTTTGTCACCGAATACTCCTGGATTATACGGGCTAGATTTTATGAAAATTCGGCTAAAGAAACTGGGGGGATAAGCCGAGCCATATGCCTACATAACGATCGATAAAAAATCAATAAATTCATTTTACAAAAATTTCACTTTTTGTTGAATTAATGTAATGCTTATTACCATTTGCATACAAATTTGACAAAACCTGAATACTGTAACAGCGAAAATGATTCTGATTAACACAAGAAAATGGCATCACGCTCAATTTTCACAAAAACTGACATAAATTGGATGATATAACTCCTTTTTTTAAATAGAGTGGGTCATCGTACCATTTTTTTGAGAACGATTAATGAAAGGCAATGGAAAGATGTTGCATTTTACACTTGCAAATATTTGGTACGAAGACCCACTCTACATAAAAAATTAAGTTAACTTACTTAAATTTTCACCGTGGTCTTAAAAAATTCTAAGTCCAAATACGCTTGCTAAATATAGAGAACTGTATGCTATTTAAATGGGTATGTATGTGTGACTCCGTGGTACAGTGGTTAGCGAGGAGCTATTTAAAGATACGTTTATTGAGGAAAGTGTTCGAGTCATGCTCTGTTTTTTTGATTTTGTTTTTTTTTTTTTTTTTCTTGTTTTGTTTTCTTTGGTTTTAATTTTGTTTTACTTTATAAAAAATGTCTATAGGAATAACATATTTTTCACTGGAAATAAAATATATACATGTAGTAATGAAATTAATTATAGTAAATTATTTAAAATGCCGGATAAAAATTATAATAGATATTTGAATACTTTTATTCCCGTTTTTATTTATTTTAAATAAAAGCGCTTCTAGATCACCATTATCATTACATACGATGTTAACATTTTTATAATATCTCCACAATAAGTGTAAACACTCAATATGCAGATTAATTAATAGAAGTCCTTACCCATGTTAGACATTTGTGACAGTAAATGAAAGTCAACTGTTTAGCTTGTTTAGAATATAAATATCATTTTGAAAACTACGGTAAACATTAAAATGCTTAAGTAAACTCGAACAATTGAGAGATTTTTTCCAATAAATTTTCTTGCATAGCCGAAAAATGGGCATGGGCACATGGCTCGTCTTATCCCCCCAGATTCTTTGCAAAGTGCATTTTAATTCGTTTAATTTTGTACATAGAATATCTCAAACTTGGGAAAGTGTTTAAGAGATCTTCATATTCATAGCTATGGTTTGCAGAGGTGTAACTCGGGCTACAACAATTACCTGGCTGTAGAGAGGGGGGGGGGTTATATAGAATACTATTGAAAACATAGCTACTATATGCTTGTGCCCCCTCAATAATAACATCTAATGACCTTTTTTTGTCAAGGAATTTTTGGTAGTGCCCCCCCCCCACCAAACTGAAAATGTTTGATTGCACCCCCCCCCCCCCCCCCAACTGATATTGCTTCCTACGGGTCTGAATTAAGAACATTAACAAAATTTGTGCATTGTAAAAACTGTTTCGACAAACAAAAATTTGCCTCAAGTGTAACCTTAACCATGTTTGTCAAGATTTAACCGTATTAGTATCACACCTCAGTCGGGGTAACGTTTTGGAGGTTAACGCACATGTCAGTTCAGGAGAGAAACTTCAAATTGTTGCTATACTTTTAACTGTCGGCGATGATAAATATGCCAGGGTCGTTAAAACACCACTAATAAGTAAGCATTCATTTTGCTATATATGTTGGATCACAACCCCTGGTTCATGATAGCATTTCTGGCGGACAAGAGGGGGGCGGGGGAGACCAGTCGGACAGTGTCTGGGTTTTATCGTCCCCCTTGTATACATTATGTGTATTTTACTGCCCGATGTCATGGCTCTCTGGCCATTTTCAGGTGTTGTATTGGTGACATTAATGCGCGGGAATCTCTCTACGTGGTCGCCAACACACGACCAGGCGGACATAATGGAGTCATTCACTGCCCAATAACTCAGTTTTCTGTGGGCGTATCCCTCTATAAACTGAGTATGTGCTGAGGTCCGAGTATAGGTCGACGTTCTCATAGGACGAGGCTATTTTTGACCACTTTGATGGTCGGCTCACTGTCGACCACTTCCTTGGGATTTCTTGGTTGTTACTGTCCAGTATATCTTGTTACAAAAATAACATAAACGTGACACACGTGTAATCTAATGAATGCTAGAGTTATTCCTAACTTTAAGGTTGTATTTATTTTTACTCCCTTGTTTTATCACAGGCCCGTAGGAAGCAATTTCAGGGGGGGGGGGAACCAACATTTTCAGTTCGGGGGCAATTTTTAATTTCATTCTCTGCCTTTTTTTGTAATCTTAGAAAAATGTAGAAAAGATTAATCATATTTATCAGAGACTTAAATTCTTCATTCAAGTGTATGAAAAATTCCAAGAATCTCGCTATATTTCCAAAGCCTTATAATCTGAAAAATATACTCACTGATAAAATCATATTTTCCTTTTATTTTTAATAATGAATACATTGAACTGTGAAATGCCAAAATTGAAAAGTATAATTCAATCTATCTCGGCAGTATGGGTATATGATCCTTTGGGAAGTTTGCAAGTTCTCTGTATTTTTATCATCAAATTTAGTCGGTCTTCATATTTACTCTACATAGTCATGATAGTATTGTTAATCTTTATAACGGTCGTGATCATGTAAAACATATTTACCTAGATCCCTTCCCCTCCCCGGATATAATGAGGCCCATAGGAAGCAATTTCAGTTTTAAAAAAGAAAGGTCATCAAAATTAATGTTATTATATTGAGGGGGCATGCGCACAATCGTAAATTTGCTGTTCTCTCTTTTGTTTATATAGTATATACATGTATACATATTGGCAAAACAGCTGTCATGTATAAAAAAAAAAAAATAAATGACAAGATCCCTTAATAATGGGTTCTTTAATGTTATTTATATATAAAAAAAAAATAACCATGCATCATGAAACCTGTATTTTTCAAAAAATACAGATTAATAGATATACATCTATATAAAATTCAAATTCTTTCATAAGTACTTTTATAGAAACAAGTATTAAAATATGAATGTTGACAAAGTGAATATTTCATTTTTAAGTCTTTCGAAATTTTCACCCCTGTATAAGGAAAAATTCCGAATCTAAGTTGATTTAAAGGGGATAGTCGAAAAAGCCTTTTTTCCCCTCTGTGCGATCCATTTCGATGTGTCAATTAATGCAGTAAAATTGAACAGAATTCCGCTACTTCTAACTCCTCTAGACAAGAATAACAACCATAATGGCGTTCAGTGCTGATTCTTAGGTTGAACCGTGTCCCCAGCTTCTAATTAAATTACATACGATTTTATCTCTCCACCATCTAAACACGCTACATCCAATTATATAACAGCCCTTTGAACACGACCGACTTTCTTGTATACGCCTCATTAGGACGGAGATGTACTTTTGAGCTATTAAAATTTTATATTGTTTACGATTTCAAATCAAGTCGAGGAAACCGTGTTAAGTACAAATTAAAAAAACGATAATTATTACTTCCTAGTTTATAATTCAATACTTCAAGAAAGACAACTCTAAGGCATTGTTCGTATTTTGTCAAGAATTTCAATATTAACTAAATGAATAAATAAATGGCACATATTTGTAATGTATATTAACTGATTGTTTCACAGGAGTTCATTGACAATCCTATGATTTTCTATTAACAGTGCAACATTTTTACAAACTTGTGACTTTCGGAATTTAAATTTAAATTTAAAATTTGCGAAATTAACAGTTTGAATATATAGATTTTTTTTGCCTTTTTAAAAATGATATTGTTCTTGTTTAAGTGAGTTAATTTTTCACTGTTCAACATTACGCTTTCCAAAATACGTTTTCATATTTGATACAATGATCAGATCGGAAAAGCTTTATAAATAGTTCCAACAGATGCTTGAAATATATTTTTATGTCCCGCCATGAATATGGTTGGGGCATATAGTGTTGTTATGTCCGTCTTCCGTCTGTCCTTCCGTCACACTTTGCGTTTAGCACAGTTTCAAAGAAACTAAGGTATTTTTATGCTCCGCCATGAATATGATTGAGGCATATAGTGTTTGTCATGTCCGTCCTTCCGTCACAATTTGCGTTTATCTCATTTTCAAAGAAACTATTTTTGATATTTCTGTCAAACTCCATATGCTGATACATACTGATGAGGGCTATTCAACTGCATCAAGATTTTTTGACCTTGACCTTCCCTTTGACCTCACTTTTCTTGAATTAGTGTTGAAAGTATTCAAGATATTTTAATCAAACCTTATATGCTGACACATACTGGTGAGAATTATTCAACATCAACATTTTTTTAACCTTTCCTTTGACCTCTCAAATTTGTGTTTAGCTAAAGTTTCAAAGGAACAAATCAAAATATTTTTATCAATTTTTTTATGCTGATACATATTAATATTGCAACTTCGTCAACTTTTGTCCTTTACCTTGCCTTTGACGTGACTTAACTTTTCTCTAAGAAGATGGGCGAACAAGGCAAGCGAAATGCCTATTGTGCAACAAATAAACCAGAAGTCTCTGATGAGACTGTAGCTCTACTGGTTGTATTTATAAAGGAAGATAAAAGTAGCACTTGGACTTGAAACTTTGCAACAGCAATAAATAGAATAATGATCCTTGGTTTAGTCTCTTTTTGGCAAGATTTATTATTATATCAGACTAAAACTGTAGGAGGAGTAGCCTTTTAAAACAATTTTACTAAAATTTTGATTTAAGTAACCATGGCAACATCATTCAACAAAATCAAAAAACAATAACACCAATTATGTATCTCTGTAGTCTACTTGTATGCCACATTATTCTGAAATCAGACAAAAAGTGTAGGAGGAGAAGCGTTTTGAAAGTATTTCAAGAAAATTTCTATTTTTAGTAACCATGGCAATACCATTCATCAAAATCCGAAACTGGTACAGAGAATTATGTATCTTAGTGTAGTTTACTTGTATGCTAAGTAATACTAAAATCAGACCAAAACTCTAGGGGTAGCATTTTGAAGGTATTTTAAGGAAATTTCTATTTTTAGTAACCATGGCAACAATGTTCATCGAAATCAAAAACCGATACACAGAATTATGTATCTTAGTGTAGTGTACTTGTTTGCCAAGTTATATTGAAATCAGACCAAAACTGTAAGAGGAGTAGCATTTTGAAAGTATTTCATAGAAATTTCTATTTTTAGTAACCATGGCAACACCGTTCATCGAAATCAGAAACCGATACACAGAATTATGCATCTTAGTATAGTCTACTTGTGTGCCAAATTATATTGAAATCAGATCAAAACTGTAGGAGGAGTAGCATTTTGAATGTTTTTCACAGAAATTTCTATTTTTAGTAACCATGGCAACACCGTTCATTGAAATCAGAAGCCGATACACAGAATTATGCATCTCTGTATAGTCTACTTGTGTGCCAAGTTATATTGAAATCAGATCAAAACTGTAGGAGGAGTAGCATTTTGAATGTTTTTCACAGAAATTTCTATTTTTAGTAACCATGGCAACACCGTTCATCGAAATCAAAAACCGATACACAGAATTATGCATCTTAGTATAGTCTACTTGTGTGCCAAGTTATACTGAAATCAGATCAAAACTGTAGGAGGAGTAGCATTTTGAATGTTTTTCACAGAAATTTCTATTTTTAGTAACCATGGCAACACCGTTCATCGAAATCAAAAACCGATACACAGAATTATGCATCTTGGTATAGTCTACTTGTGTGCCAAGTTATACTGAAATCAGATCAAAACTGTAGGAGGAGTAGCATTTTGAATGTTTTTCACAGAAATTTCTATTTTTAGTAACCATGGCAACACCGTTCATCGAAATCAAAAACCGATACACAGAATTATGCATCTTGGTGTAGTCTACTTGTGTGCCAAATTATATTGAAATCAGACCAAAACTGTAGGAGGAGTAGCATTTTGAAAGTATTTCACAGAAATTTCTATTTTTAGTAACCATGGCAACACCGTTCATCGAAATCAGAAACCGATACACAGAATTATGCATCTTAGTATAGTCTACTTGTGTGCCAAATTATATTGAAATCAGATCAAAACTGTAGGAGGAGTAGCATTTTGAATGTTTTTCACAGAAATTTCTATTTTTAGTAACCATGGCAACACCGTTCATTGAAATCAGAAGCCGATACACAGAATTATGCATCTCTGTATAGTCTACTTGTGTGCCAAGTTATATTGAAATCAGATCAAAACTGTAGGAGGAGTAGCATTTTGAATGTTTTTCACAGAAATTTCTATTTTTAGTAACCATGGCAACACCGTTCATCGAAATCAAAAACCGATACACAGAATTATGCATCTTAGTATAGTCTACTTGTGTGCCAAGTTATACTGAAATCAGATCAAAACTGTAGGAGGAGTAGCATTTTGAATGTTTTTCACAGAAATTTCTATTTTTAGTAACCATGGCAACACCGTTCATCGAAATCAAAAACCGATACACAGAATTATGTATCTTGGTGTAGTCTACTTGTGTGCCAAGTTATATTGAAATCAGACCAAAACTGTAGGAGGAGTAGCATTTTGAAAAATTGTTTACAGACGGACAGACAGACAGACAGACGGACGGACGACGGACACATTACTATCGCATAAGCTCTTCTGGTCTCTGACCAGTAGAGCTAAAAAGTGAAATATTAAATTGTGACAATTTATTCTTTGATATTTCATTTAACATTAACATATACTTTATTGAAAAATATCCACAAATAACAACAATCTAACAAAGAGTGAAGTTTATCATCCAGGAAATAGCATACATACACTAAACAGGGAGAAATGATCAATATTTCATACTAAAACACAATTTTTCCTTATGAGTGGGTCTTTCCTCCATATTTTTGAAAGATTATACGCAACGTATGTGTAAAAATATACCACGGATATCAAACACTTGGGATAAGGATCCACTATACCCTAAAATACACTTTTATGGAACAACTTTCGTATCTATCCGAAAAATATTTGGTCTATTCAGTCAAGGGTTATATCAAAAACATGATTTCAAATGTCCAGGTTTGTAATGAATGATAATGAACACGGCCCATATATTATTCAGAAAAATTCTCATACTCATCTAGGCTTACATTTTCAAAGAGATACCACGTGGACATCAAACATACAAATAATTCATGAAAAAGCTACAAAAAGATTAAACATTCTTAGAATGCTTAAGTATAAGGTTACACGTAAAACACTTGTTAAAATATATTTTGCATTTATTCGACCTGTAATGGAGTATTCTGATGTTGTTTGGGACAATTGTTCTGAAAAAGATTCTAAACTTTTAGAAGACATACAAGTTGAAGCAGGCAGAATTATCACTGGATTAAGATGTAACTCTTCTCATTCAAAATTGTATGATGAACTAGGATGGGATCTTCTAAAAACAAGGAGAAAAATTCATAAGCTTATATTGTTTTATAAAATTATTAACGGTTATTCCCCTCAATATTTGTATGATTTGATTGAACCCTATCGCCCATCAATTCATTCTTATAATCTCAGAACCAATGTTGTACAATTCAAGATTCCTAATATTAGAAGAACATCTTATATGGAAAGTTTTCTTCCCTCTACAGTCAAACAATGAAATATCTTGCCAGATTATATTAAAATGTTCATTTAAGAGTCTCTTAAAATCCTATTTTTGTAGAAAGAGTAATGAACTTTTTCATTTTGGAGTAAGAAAATATAATATAATACATTGTCAGATAAGGAATAATGCTAGTAATTTGATGGCAGATTTATATGATCAATGTTTAGCAGAAACTCCAATGTGTGAACATTGTGCTGGCAGTATTGAAGATGCCTATCATTACTTTTTTGCATGTCCAAGATATACAATTCCAAGAAATGTACTTTTTCAATCAATACATAATATTATAAATGGTGACCATATATCTGAATGTGATTTATTGTTAAATGGTAGTTCTAATCATGGACTTGATATTAATATACAAATATTTGAAGCTGTACATATATTTATAGCAGCAACAAAACGATTTATATAAACACTGTCATATACATATGGTATATTGTAATACTTTCAATATTTCCAAACCGGTACTACTTTGTACTCTTGCTTATTTTTTTTTTATTATTATTTTTCTTTTTTCTTTCCTTTTGCAATTTTGCTTCTTTTGCCTTCTGTAACTTTGTTCATTTTTAGCTCTACTGGTCAGAGACCAGAAGAGCTTATGCGATAGTAAGGTGTCCGTCGTCCGTCCGTCTGTCTGTCTGTCTGTCTGTCTGTCTGTCCGTCCGTCTGTAAACAATTTTTCAAAATGCTACTCCTCCTACAGTTTTGGTCTGATTTCAGTATAACTTGGCACACAAGTAGACTACACTAAGATACATAATTCTGTATATCGGTTTTTGATTTCGATGAACGGTGTTGCCATGGTTACTAAAAATAGAAATTTCTGTGAAAAACATTCAAAATGCTACTCCTCCTACAGTTTTGGTCTGATTTCAATATAACTTGGCACACAAGTAGACTATACTAAGATACATATTTCTGTGTATCGGTTTTTGATTTCAATGAACGGTGTTGCCATGGTTACTAAAAATAGAAATTTCTGTGAATAACATTCAAAATGCTACTCCTCCTACAGTTTTAATCTGATTTCAATATAACTTGGCACACAAGTAGACTATACTAAGATGCATAATTCTGTGTACTGGTTTTTGATTTCGATGAACGATGTTGCTATGGTTACTAAAAATATAAATTTCTGTGAAATACTTTCAAAAAGCTACTCCTCCTACAGTTTTGATCTGATTTCAGTATAACTTGGCAAACAAGTAGACTACACTAAGATACATAATTCTTTATATTGATTTTCTGATTTCGATGAACATTGTTGCCATGGTTACTAAAAATAGAAATTTCCTTGAAATACCTTCAAAATGCTACCCCTACAGTTCTGGTCTGATTTTAGTAATACTAATTAGCACACAAGTAGACTACACTGAGATACATAATTCTCTGTACCAGTTTCGGATTTCGATGAACAGTGTTGCCATGGTTACTAAAAATAGAAATTTTCTTGAAATACTTTCAAAACGCTACTCCTCCTACACTTTTTGTCTGATTTCAGTATAATGTGGCATACAAGTAGACTACAGAGATACATAATTGGTGTTAGTGTTTTTTGATTTTGTTGAATGATGTTGCCATGGTAACTTAAATCAAAATTTCTGTAAAATTGTTTTAAAAGGCTACTCCTCCTACAGTTTTAGTCTGATATTATAATAAATCTTGCCACAAAAGAGACTAAACCAAGGATCATTATTCTGTTTATTGCTGTTGCAAAGTTTCAAGTCCAAGTGCTACTTTTATCTTCCTTTATAAATACAACCAGTAGAGCTACAGTCTCATCAGAGACTTCTGGTTGTTTTTGCTTTCTTCTTTTGTACATTCTTACTTTTGCTTTAAAAATTAATTTACTATGTATTTGCCTTGACCTTGATGTAGGGAGAGGGCTAAAATAGGCTGAGCCTGCTGCCCAATCCTATTCACTTTTACATCTGTGAATAAAATATTGTTTAAATTAAATCAATGATATAGTGTTATATAGTGATATAGGTTAGTGTGTTAGTCAAAGGAAAAATTGACACTCAGGATTTTTATTGCTTGGGTTCGAAACCCAAGAATACCACGTCTTTTTCTTTAATCATAGAATGATTTTTACCAAAAACATTCTGCCGCAGTTTTTTTAGTCATACCTTTCAAAGATAAGAACTTTACTTTAAATACTAAATTCACAAATTGAATATGACTTTTATACATTTGAAGCTGTTGGCATTTTGCATGCCCTGTTCTCCCATCAACCTTGTGTTCAGCTCAGTTTTAAAGAAACTATTCTAGATATTTTTTATGCAAACTAATGCACAGATACATTATTTGGTGAGAAAATATCGACTTTGTCCAATTTTTTTTTACCTTGACTTTCCCAATGACCTTTGACTTTACTATTGTGTATAAAACTCAGTTTTAAAGATACTATTCAAGATATTTTCATCAAACTTCATGCACTAATACAAATTATGATGTTTCATTTACTAATGAACCCTGACCTATGGACATATTTCTAGATTTTTATAAACTTCATATGCTGATACATATCAATGAGAGCTATTCAACTGCTATAACATTGTTTGACCTTTCTTTTGACCTTGACCTCACTTTTCAAAAAATTGTTTTCAACCCAGTTTCAAGGAGACTATTCAAGATTTTTTTTCAATCCTTATTTGCTGATGCATATTGATGATAACTTTACTGCATCAACATTTTTTTACCTTGATCTTTCCTTTGACCCTGCCCTCACTTTTCAAAAATTTGTGTTTTAATCAGTTTCAAGGAAACTACTCAAGATATTTTTATTTAACCTTATGAAGAGGTATTCAATTTCATCATTTTTTTTTTTAACTTGACCTTTCCTTTCACCTCGACCTCACATTTCTTAAACTGTGTTAAGCTAAGTTTCAAGATATTTTTATCAAACTTCATTTGCTCTACTTATTGATGAGAATTAGGCCTATTCAACGGGAAAAAAATATTTTGACCTTGACCTTTTCTTTGACCTTGACCTCACTTTTCTTTAATTATTGTTTAGATACGTTTCAAAGCAACTATTTACTATTATATATTTTTATCAAAACTTATTGGTGAGAGCTATTCAACTTCATCAACATTTTTTGAACTTGGATTTACTTTTGACCTTGACCTCACTGCTTAAATTTCTGGTTTAGCTCAGTTTCAAAGAATTTATTCAAGATATTTGTATGTAAGCTTATGCACAGTGATACTAAATTTGGTAAGAATACATCAACTGTGTCCGATTTTTTTTTTTTTTACCTTTACTATTCATTGCGTAAATGTAAGAGTAATGAATGTATCAATTAATTTCTAATTAATTAATACATACCTAAATGTTTTGTTTTCTATTTGTATATACATTTTATTTCAGATTATTTATTAAGTCAAAAGATCACCCAGGTGTACCATGCAATGCTACCCTATTATTTGCCTTAAGGGTCATAATTTAAGTTCTGGCCATAAGTCTTCTAAATTCTTTGTTTCTGTTGGGTTTTGTTTTGTGTTCTTGTGTTTTATTGGTTTGTCAAATTCCCTCCAAGTATTCTGTTTTTTTCTGGTCATTCTTTGTCCAGATATTTTGCAGAGACTGAGAGGGCATATAGATTTTGTATCCGACAAATTTGACCGACTGACTGTGACAATTATTTCCTCTTCTGGTAAAGTGATATTAATTTACAAATTTCAACATATCTATAATATATTTCATTAATTGTGAAACCTATATTTTGGCAATATTAATTTCCATAGCACTTTTGCACAATAAGAAAGATATTAATGACAAGTAATTAGCTCTAAAGCTTGTGTATTTTATAGTCCACGAAATGTGGATATATTTTATGACAAAAGAATTATATGAAGTCAATGATAATTTATAGTAATTATCTGGACTCCAAGCCGTCTATGATGTAGATGCATTTATAATATGCAGGAGATTGCCTATTCCCTTAGAATGGTATGCTATTGTTTTTATGATCTATTGATTATTCATAAAAAGTATATACTGTCAATGAAGATATCATAAGCTTTAATAGTGATATATATTGTGTTGTAAAGTATTTTAATTGCATGCACAAAGTGTAATTCAAAGGGAGTATTGGTTAAGTTCAATGAATGTAAGAGTTATCTCCCTTTACGCAGTATTGTGTATAATTGATTGTGCCTGAATGATTTTGCGATATATTCTAAATGTTTTTATGTACCGTATATTTCGGGCAATTATTTATCAGTATAATAAAATACAGTACACGAACTCTAACAGGACCTGAGTATGTATGCAATACCATCATAATACATATAAAACTCAGTTTTGAAGAAACTATTCAAGTTATTTTCATCAAACTTTATACACTAATATTAATTTTCATGTTACATTATTAATGACCCCGGGGTGGGGCATTCACGTCCTATGGACATATTTCTAGTTCTTATCAAAAATATAATCACTACCTAAGGCCAGGTAAAATTAATCTTTAGATTCTCATCCCCGCCCGCCCCTCTCAAAGTGCCCCGCCCCGTTGTTTTTTATTTTTCTTTTTGGGTGCCAAACGTATTATTTTCATGTATTTTTATTCAGCAAGAATCTGGGTCAAAATTTAAGAGTTATCTCCCGTCTGTATTAAAAGTCGCGTGGCGCTATTTATAGCAAAAAAACTATGTGAAGAATGGAGAAAAATCGGCAATAAATGCAGTTTAAACATGTAAGGAAAAGATAATTTGTTAGTAAAGAGAAGGCAGAAAAGCAAAAATAACATATAAACACATCTAGATACCATCACTGGCATGGACAAGTGTTTAAAGAGATTTTAATCAAGTAAAAACAGACGAAGAAAATACACATGGTCAAGTTTTAAATAACGATCTCCAGATGTATGTGATTTTGCATAAAAAAATAAAACATCGTCCAAAGACTTAAGAGAATAATAGTGCTATGGAAATGTTAAATCTTAAAACTGTTCAGGCCTAGGCTTTTCAGTAGAATATTTTACAGATTTACACAATCCTGTTTTGCAAATATGATATATTTTAATGTCGAACATGTCAAGTCTCAAGAACGATTGAATGTATCAGGACAGTGTAAATCTGTGATATCTGTATATCACACAGAACAGGAGTTGTTGGTAAAACTATAAGGTATTTGGGAAAAGGCCGATGAGAAAACATGCATATGCAATTTATTAGGATCAGCACCTCATTTTGTTTGGCGTGTGCCGTATATCCGTGTACTTGATAATTTGTTAATAAAACTAACGTTATATATATTTTTTAATTTTCTATAAGAAGAATCTTCTGTAGATATTTAAAAGAATATGAAAACAATAAAATATATTCATATTGGCATTAACATATGTAAAATTTACGTGTACGAATGTTTTGTTGATACTTTCAATTATAAAAAATAAAAAATAAAATTCGCCCACCCGCCCCAATTTTTTAGCAAATTAGGATGAGAATCTAAATTTTAAATTTATATGGCCTAATACATCAAATGATTTAAGAGATAGGGGGTTATATTTTTTTGTCAAGAAAAAAATCAAAAGTGAAGCGCCAACCCGGTACCATGATCCACTGTAATGCAGTATAGCAATAAGATAGTCAAACAACATATGTGACAACTTGACTTGAGATACCTAACACATGTAGTATAAATTTTATCCATGAATTCAGTAAATAAAAATTTATTGACTCCTTTGGCTGGAGTGTAGAAATGTTTCTCTTGATCCTTTATCTTAAAGATATACATGTATCTGATCAAAATTTGGCTATATTTATGAATAAAATAAAAAGAACAACCAAAGACATAAATAACATTTATTTCTGCCTCTGCAACAATAGAGGAGAGGGTTCACCTCAAGAGAAAACCTGACAGAATATTAATATAGACAGTTCTTTTTCTGGGAGGGGGAAGGGGGTGGGGGTGGAGGGGGTTACTCATTTTTATACTTTTCTACAATATGGGTTGATATAGATTGATATCAATATTGATATATTGCAGAAAAAGAATAAAAACAACCACTAGTTCTATGACAAATATATATTCATTCAAAGTTAACCTTTGCTGTCTTGCCTACTATTCCACCAATTCACCATTTTATAAGAAAAATAATGTTCATCGAAAGAAAACTACAAATAAATACACAGTTCAATAAAATAAATGCTTTTAATAGAAAAAAATGTTTCACATTCAAGTATTGTTATTGCATTAATTGCTGCACAACCATTTTGGATTATATGCCCCTTTTGTGACTGATAAAAGTAAATAAGAAAGGATTTTTAAACATATTTAACCACAAAGTCTGCCCAGCAGCCTCAACATATCAAAATTTAGTTTTGTGTTTATAAAAGCTCTAGTACCGATATTCTGATTTTGTGTTTATAAAAGTTCTAGTACTAATATTCTGATTTTGTGTTTATAAAAGCTCTAGTACCAATATTCTGTCAATATTATGTAAGCAATATCTATTCCTTTACAAAGACATTCAACCCAGGCACTTTAGCAGCCTGGAGGACTAAAAGAAATACAATTATACTGATTTTTTTTACTTATCTTTCTTCCTTCATTTTTTTTAAGTGCTTAAGCATATGTAAAACAAATAAATCACTTTAAATATGATTTGTAGAAAACTGGCGGAATTTATATGACAGATTATGGTGAATGATTTGTAACCTTAATAAATAACACCCGACTGGCAGGTAAGAATCATTATTAATAAAGCACTCTATGGCCCTCTAATGCTGCATTGTCATCCCATATAAGTATATTCTTTATTCCTATTCTAAAGGTCTATTTTCGGAAACCATTTGGATTCAAAGACTGCCATCGCCAGGTGTCTTCACCTGTAATAGGTAAAACCATGCACTTAATCAGCAAGTCAGTGGAATTCCAGTCAATATCTAATTATCTATATCATTTAAAATCAGGAAACAAAATATTGGCAATTTGAAACTAATCTGTACATGTTTCAATTATTTGAATTAACTACTCTGTCTAGTATTACAGTAAAACACGCTTACAAAGAAGTGCCAGGAATGACCAGTTTTGATTTGTTATAGCGATAATTCGTTATATCAGTTAAGTTCATAATACCGGTATGACTTGAAAGAAAAGGAAATGAAAATCACTACTGTAAGCATGAATTCATTATAAGCATGTTCACTATAACTGTTTTTTTTTTACTGCACTTTGATTATTTAATCAATAGTAAGAATTTTACACCAGTGTACTTACACATCTGTTTGAGATCACGAGTTGCTGACCAGCCTAATTCCTGCTTGGCTAGATCTGCATTCCCATACACTGAGGCTACATCACCTGGGCGACGATCTACTTTTTTGTATGGAATCTGGAAATGAAAAAAGTAATTGGACTCACTCTACCACAGACATCCATGAATGACTAATCACTGACAGTGCCTCATGTCTTTTCTTCTTCAGTTACCAGTTTGCCACTGGCTTCCTCACTTACAGGTTTGCCACTGACTTCCTCACTTACTGGTTTGTCACTGACTTCCTCACTTACCCGTTTGCCACTGACTTCCTCACTTACTGGTTTGTCACTGACTTCCTCACTTACTGGTTTGCCACTGGCTTCCTCACATACAGGTTTGCCACTGACTTCCTCACTTACCGGTTTGCCACTGGCTTCTTCACTCACCGGTTTGCCACTGACCTCCTCACTTACCCGTTTGCCACTGACTTCCTCACTTACAGGTTTGTCACTGACCTCCTCACTTACTGGTTTGTCACTGACTTCCTCACTTACCGGTTTGCCACTGACTTCCTCACTTACCCGTTTGCCACTGACTTCCTCACTTACTGGTTTGACACTGACTTCCTCACTTACTGGTTTGACACTGACTTTCTCACTTACTGGTTTGTCACTGACTTCCTCACTTACTGGTTTGTCACTGACTTCCTCACTTACTGGTTTGACATTGGCTTCCTCACTTACTGGTTTGACACTGACTTCCTCACTTACTGGTTTGACACTGACTTCCTCACTTACTGGTTTGACACTGACTTCCTCACTTACTGGTTTGTCACTGACTTCCTCACTTACTAGTTTGTCACTGACTTCCTCACTTACTGGTTTGTCACTGTCTTCCTCACTTACTGGTTTGCCACTGGCTTCTTCACTTACTGGTTTGTCACTGACTTCCTCACTTATCGGTTTGTCACTGACTTCTTCACTTACTGGTTTGACACTGGCTTCTTCAGTTACCAGTTTGCCACTTACCGGTTTGCCACTGGCTTCCTCAAAAGCTTTGGCCATTTCCAACACGGAGTAACCTTTTCCTGTTCCAAGATTGTACACCTGAAAATAACCATATCTTTAAACTTGTCTTTAGAAATTAAAAATAATGTTTATATTTTTTTAAACTAACATTTTGTTTTAATTACAACAAATAATATTTCTTCTGGTCTTACACACACAGGTAAAAATATCTTAATACCCAATTTTTCAATATCTTTGTGTCACTTACCTTACATCCACAGTTCGTTTCAATTTTTTTTTGAGCTGCCACATGGCCCTGAGCTAAGTCCACAACATGAATGTAATCACGTACCCCTGAAATAGGTCAGGACAACATCCAGTGAAAAACATCAGAACATTAAATCATATATTAAAAAATACCAAAAATAACAACATTTAAATCTATATAATTTAAATCTATACAATTATCTTTTTTTGTTTTGCTTCACAAAAAAATGCTTATAAAGACTTTACATGGTAGTTATTTCCAACTACAGTACAGTATTTGTAAATCACTTTAAAGGTTTAATCAGATACTCTGCTATTAATAAATTAATCATTTATTTATTGCATTGTAAGTGTTTTCATATACATGTATAAACACATGTTACATACAATACTGAAAATGAATATCTGTGTCACTAAGCACATGCATGACTAAGTACAAAAACTAAAAATGAATATCTGACATGTCACTAAGTACATAAACGACTAGGTACAAAAACTGAAAATGGCAACATATGTATATGAACTTTGTATGGAGGCTCTAAAAAGCTACCTTTTAATTGATTAACTAATTATCAGTCTCCTCAATAAAGAGCTAGGTTCACCTTGTGCATCAAATGGCGCTGTCAACACTTCATTTATACAATTATCACCTTACATTTAACACCAAATTTTAAATATTAAATAGACTCATAACTCATGGTTCACTCTCCAAGGTTTAATTAATGTTTACAAATTTCACTAGTATAGCTGTTTTCTTTGAGTTTTACAGAAAGGAGTCTTACAATATTTTGATCACTTCTTGCTGATGCAAGAAATAGGTAGACAGCAATGCATCAGGGTTCTCCATCATTTCAGATTTAACTGTGGCGCAAGACTTACGCCATGTGCTAATATTCGCGGTCATTTCGCGACCGAATTTGCGAAGGAACCATGAAATAAATTGAAAAACACACTACTCCTATGAATCAATAAATTAATACACAAATTAATTAATGGGATTAACTAATTGGAAAAATGATTGATAAATTCAATAATAAAAACAATTAATCAATAAAACATAGTGTAAAACAAAAATTAAGATGTTTCCGAAATATACGTATACTGTGAAAAAGACTCCATCCCCCCTCCAAATGCATACGTACTTGTAAATAAACAAATATTAGCTTACAGAATCTGAAAATACATGTAATAGTACCAGTAATTACTATTTTCTAGCATTTAACCCTAATTTAAAAAATAATTTTGTTTACCAGCCGTGTTCATTAAAGGACAGATGAAATTCTGGTAGGTCACCAGTCATAGACATCTAGTCTATATATTTGCAATTATTAGTCTGAAGTATCTTAAACTTGTATATTTTGGTGGATGTATTCATTATTTGTTAATTTTTCAACATTACAAAAATAAATGAATATTTACGATCGATACGGATACGATGTTTTGACTCGTAGTGCCAATGCAATTTTAGAAACTTGCATGTAGTTATCTGTAAAACTATAAAAGCAATGAATTAATTGGTATTTTAAAATTCAGTTGTAGTTATCGTGAAGTGTGAAAAAAATGGCTTGTCGCTTTTCATTCATGTGTTTAGCTAGGTCTGGAAGATAATTAATTGTAAAAGCCAAACAGTGGATTGTAATTAGAGCACATTAACAGTTTAGCATTAGAAACTGAAACACGCCTTTACGGTACATCATTAAGAGTCTTAATTAAGTTTATTTGATTAATAAATTTATATATTTATCTTACTGACGACGATGATGTTACTGTGGTGCTAGAGAATTTAACTGTGGCGCTAGAGAATTTAACTGTGGCGGGGCCGCCACGTTAAACGTCCTATGGAGAACCCTTATGTATTTACAAATCTATACCTAGTAAGGTCTTTGTTCCATACCATTTAGTAAATAACTTGCACAGTTTTGTTATAAAAATACTTTAAATCAACTATTCTGATGCAGGAAATTGGAAATTAACAAGCACTCATGCAAATTTAGATTTTTTTTTCATGCAAGTTTAGAAAAAGCTAAATATAAAAGAGCAAGAAAAGTTTTAAAGAGTAGAAGAAGGCCTACACAAGCAAAAAGCACTCAGTAATCATGACAACTGGCGTTCTACCAGGGGGCAGCACCTGTTCCATCAGGTGTGTCATAATCGCTGCCGTATACACTTAGCTCTGCTCTCTTTCCAACAGCCACCTGTGCTATAAATGGCATCAAGTTGTTTGGAATGCCTTGGGGGTCTTCCCCGATCTTCCCTGATTTGTGTGCACCAACAGGATTAAAGTATCGCAGCATGATGATGTTCCAGTCCTATAGATCACACAAGTAAACATATACATTAGACAATGATAAAGTTATGAATAATCACCTCGACACAGAAATAATAAAACTGATGTTTAGGCTTGTAAAATATTACCACTGGCTGTGCTATTTGCATAAAACACATAAAAAATTCAAATACATTTTACTTTTTTAATCTTTTTTTCCATATTCTTCTTGGTTCATCCTGTTCCTAGTTTTAAATTTTTCTAAAAGAATTTTCTACCCATACATAAGTATAAATTTCTCTGTGAGTTTTTCTACCTTGATCCTAGCTGTATATATTTCTACCCTTGAGTTTTCTTCCCTGTTCCTAGTTGTAAATTTCTTTACATTTGTTTCCTAACATGTTCCTAGCTGTCGATTTCTCTATGCTTGAGATTTCTCCCCTACCTCACTCTCTACCATCAGCTCATACATTCACCTCTGTCGTTGGCTCACATATATCACAGTGTTAAGCACAAGAAATAGTGTGTTTGTTTTAATTCATTGTAATTAAATTCCTGCACTAATGTATATATTTACTAAGTAGATATAGAATTATTAGATTAATTTGAAATAATCCTTGGAATATAACATGTTTTTTACCTAACAGAAATCCCGACATGAGCCCACTGCAGAGGTGTCTCAGTCTGAGAGGGGAATGAATGACAACTCTGCGAGGGAGATTGCCCCTACCTCTGTAATTTTTTCCACATTTGAGTTCATCCCACTCCTAGCTTTAAATTTTTCTAAATTTAAGCTTTCCACCCTGCACTTAACTACCAGTATAAATTTCTCAATATTTGAGTTTTCCAGTACCCTATTCTTAGCTGTAAAATTTTCTATGTTTGAGTTTTCTACCCCACTCCTATACCTTTAATTTTCTCTACCTCTGAGTTTTCTTATTCCTAGCTGTAGATTTCACTACCTCTGAGTTTTCTACCCTGCTCTTAGCTGTAAATTTCTCTACCTCTGAGTTTTCTACCCTTACCTGATTTTGCTAAGATTGTCTCAAGACCCTGTGGCTCCTAGCTGTAAATTTCTCTACCTCTGAGTTTCATACCCTGCTCCTAGCTGTAAATTTTACTACCTTTGAGTTTTCTACCCTGCTCCTATAGCTGTAAATTTCACTACCTCTTCGTTTTCTACCCTCCTCCTATATATAATTTTTTGCAAACTCCAGTATTCTACCCTGTTCCTAACTGTTAATTTCTCTATATTTGAGATTTCTTTCCTGCTTTTAACTATGAATTTCTACTTACTGGCTCAGCTTTATGCAGGTCCCTCAGGATTTCTTCGATAAAATATTTGGTTTTCCCATATGGATTTGTACAGCCTCCTACTGGGTGCTTCTCATCAATAGGTAAATACTGTGGACTGCCATACACTGTGGCTGAACTTGAGAAAATCAAGTTCTTTACTCCCCTCTCTTTCATCACCTAAAGATAAACAAAGGTAGTCAGCAAATCTTTTCATATTGCATCCTTAAACGGACACTACATCATAATACAATATAACATTAAACTAACAGTAATATGTACACTACAAGTAGGAACCAACCATGTAAGTAAAACAATGATGTGTTTTATATATAATTTCTTGTAGCTTTTTCTAAATCTTTATAACAAATTGCAACATGTATATTTTCCATTGATTGATAGGAAACTCCAGAAGGTCCCCTTATGAGCTCCTACAAATTTCTCTCCCTTTGATTCTCTCCCTCCATGCCAAAGAACCAGATAAACCTTGTCCCCCAATCAAAAAACAAACCTCCAGAAGATTGACTGTCCCTCCGATGTTGTTTTTGTAATACAGCAACGGCAACTGACAAGACTCCCCAACTGCCTTAAGGCCAGCAAAATGGATGACACTGCTGAACTTGTGCTGTAAATCAGAATACAGGTTACATACTGGTCGGGAGAATATGTACTAATGTTAATAATATTTTGACTTTTCCCCCAATACAGTTACTTCAGAAACAGCAATTCTAGATTTAATTATAATAAAAGAGCTTAGAATCATTTTTACTCTAAGCACATTTTATTTAGTCATCCAATGAATGAGGTTTGTACGAGTTTTGTGTTCCTAAATGATGACTCGCTTTGCTTACCAAGTTGACAGAACAAATTACTAACTTTACTAAATAAATCCAACAAAGCTGGTTTGTCTAAGAGATCCACACTGTAACTCGGTACAGATTTTCCTGTAATCTCTTCCACTCTTTTTATGCTTTCTGAAACGATGCAATTTTTATAACCTTCAAAATTGGCTTGATACACTAAATATAAAATTTTGCAACAATTAAAAAATACTACCACTTCTTATCACCCAAGAGAAAGAAAATTTCCAAATTTTTATGTAATTAATCACAATACATGTATTATCTTTGATATACATGTATTAAATACAGTTACTAAAAATATATATATATATTTTAATTAATTAAATAAAAATTAATGCAATGTGGAACAACTCACCCATGCTTGCATTAGCAAGGTTATCCATCACAACCACAGAATACCCCGCCTCTATCAGCTCTATCACAGCATGGCTTCCAACGAACCCCGCCCCTCCTGTCACCAAAATACAGCTGTCTCCCATGGTGTGGCTTACAAAGCTGTCAATCAAACAACTAAACCATTTATCATGTATATGTTACACTCAACATTTTTTATAATCTTTGACTATAGGGTTGTCCCTAAGACCTGGGGGCAGGGGAATTTCCCTGCCTATAATGACATAATCCCCTGGTTATTCTGGTATTCCCCTTTAACCCCCTGTTAGGGGAGGAACCCTAGACCCCCTTCTACTTTTTAAATGTCCCCTGCTATTTCAATTCTTTGGGACAACCCTGGACTATGTCTTGATTTCAATTATTTTCGTGGGCCATAATTTTACAATAGCTCCATCATGATCGGTTGACTTTACATAGCTTGCTGTAGTTAAGTAGCTGTATTAACCTATTCAAAGTACTTTGGTTAAGTTGTTTCAAAATTTTTTTTTCCTAAATTTTATTCAGAATGTTCATAAAGTCTTTAGTTTGGTGATGGGTTAATTAGTTTTCTACTATAAATACATTTTTTCATACCATGCATGGAAAAACTCCTTTTCAAAGAGTGACTTTTTCAGAGAATATATAGTTGACATAATTCTTAAGTTTTCTTGCTATCAAGCCATATCCTAGGGGTTTATCTACTATCGAACTTTGGGGGGGGGGGGAATAAAATGATGTTCACCAATACCTGCTTACAAGTTAGTTCAGTGCACTTTGAAGTAAAAGGACAGAATGATTCGAATGGGTGGTTCACATTGTGACACCATTAAAAAAAAAATTGTTTTTCATTTTAATTTTGTTTTAAAACGATAAAAGACATGTTGTACATGTCACTGGCATTAAATACCATTCAGGAATAATATAGGAGTACCTTTCTCAAACTGCTAAATGCACAGGTGAGTGGATTTGTTTGCAATAGGTGTGTTAACTATGGAAAAGAATTGGAACGACTTTACTTTACCGGTCCCCAGAAAAACGCGCTAAAATATAGTGTCGCCATAGGCGACTTCAATATATATGAGATCGCGTGAGCGATCGAAAAAAATAAAAAATATGAGGTTTTAAGCCTTTTTGACCCCAAATTCGAATTCTACGGTTAAAAGTTTAGTTTAAAACTTCGTTTATAAACGAAGTTTTTAACCTCGTTTTCTGAAAAAAAGTAATAAATGTTGTTTATTCAGTGAAAAGGAGACAAAAAATAATTGTGAACGAAGCGCGTGCGGCACATGCTTAGTGCCGTTTCTTTCGTACTTAGCCATTTTTTTCATGTAAACAAACCAACGAGATGTCGTTGAAGCTGAATTAAGATCTTGCAAAAAATACAGATGCAACTGAATTTCTTAATTAATCTAAAAGAACAAGACACTATAAACCCTAATCTCTCGGATGGTATGCGAGGACTAACCCAAATCTCCCAGGCGGATGCTAGACTAACCCATGTGCGAGGACTAACCCTAATCTCTCGGATATATGCGAGACTAACCCTAATCAGTCGAAAACTTATGCAAGGACTAACCCTAATCTTTCAGGTGGGTGCAAGACTAACCCTAACCAGTCGAAAAATGTGCAAAACCAACCCTTATCAGTTGAGTGACGTAAATCTTACGTCATAGTGCAATGAGCGCGCGGATCTTGCGGATCTGGGGACCGGTAAAGTAAAGTCTACCCAAAGAATTTAGTCATTGCCTAACATATCTGTGATTTGTTGATATGCCATCACAATTCTGTGCAGCAGCCAATCAAATGACCCACGCATATTAATTACATACGACGATATTTCAGAGAGTTTGTCCACGGGTGTTGAGTAAAAGATGAGATCACCCAAGGGTATCAGACGATGATACCTCAGCTGATAAAGCAGAATTAAGGGGGGGGGGGGGGGCAAGGGTAGAATCTTGGTCAGATTCACAGGTACTTGGGTCTTGGTTTATAAATTTGTATACCTATTGAATATGACAAAAAGTACTTTTTATCATATTCAATAGGTATATACATATTTATAAACCAAGACCCAAGTACCTGTGGTCAGATTCGCAATTTCTCCCCTCCTGCTACACATTAAAATCAGTATGAGAATTTTAAATTTATGAAACGTATTATTAGAGACACTGTGAATAAAAATTACTATGATTTACAATGGACGGAGATTTTTCTTCCGGGTCGGTTCTCTTGTTTTACCTGTCACGTTGCAAAACTCTTGAATTTCTCCGAAACTCTGCTTATGTAGGTTTGTGAATTTTGCTGTCTCTCCAAAAGTCACCCCATATAAATACTGAGTTTTATTTAGTGTTTATTAAGTAAATCTACACGTTCGATAATGCTTAATATGGTTAATTATATGTAAATTTAGGTAAAGTTCTTAAAATACGAAACTATTAGCATTGTTTTCCTATACTTACCAATTCGTGCACATTCTATTCATCCTTATCTGATAAAACCCGTTTCTTCGCTTCCTCTTTTTTCTCTCTATATAGAAATAGTTTCAATCAATATCTAACCTGCTAACCATGCTAGTAGAGGGCCTAAGTCTTTTTTTTTCTTTTTTTGTAAATGTTCGAATTGGAAACACTTTATGTACGCTTTAACCTGTTTAATCATATTCCGAATATTACCTATTACGTCACATACGATACGAAATTTTTGTGTTTTAGCTTAATTCTGTCATTTTAGATCAAAATGGGATGTGATGGTGGTACGATACCTAAGAGGGATGAACTTGTCAGGACGAAGAAAAGACCAGAGCAGGTATTGAGGAGATTGTGAAAAGAATACATTTATTCTGACAATCTGCAATGTTGAAAGATTGATTGTACTTTTATACTTATTTTCACTCTTAAGACGTTAACGTATGAAGGGCTTCAAATGTAGACCTTTACTCGACACTCAGGACCATCAACTTAGATTTGTTGAGGTTGGGCTTGAACCCACAACCTTCTGATCACTGAGCAAGTACTCTATCAACTGAGCTACCAGGACAGTGTCATTTCACAAACGGGATAGGCAACTCCTTCAGTACCATGTTTATTTACCCAAAACGTCACATACAACACTACAAGTTTTCAAACAACCTTTTTTCCCTGTAAAACTTTTAGTGTTTTGTAAATGTAATCTGTTCTTATTGTTTATAGGGGTAGATTTTTAATAAATTTTTATCTATCTCTCTATACTACTCACCCCCAAATATTGAGTATTCTGAGTAGAAGCAAAGATTGTAAAATTCATGAGCTAAATATAAGTAAACAGCCACCAGAATATGGCAAAATCTTGAAAATTCGGCCAATCAAGGGTATGTGTTGATTTTGAAATAAAACATTGTAATACTTAGAACTGCAAGTGACATATTTGAATATTTTTTGATTGATGAATGAAGGTTTTGTTACATTACATTTGATAATGTAAATGATATATTTAATTAGAATTGAACATACAAAATCGTGCCTCTTGTGAGATACTGAGAGAGTTGCTTATTCCATTAGTAAAGAGGTCCCTGGTTGTTTTAAGGATAAATAACACAAGCAAAAAATTTGATGCATGGATTGATCATCTATATTTTTTGACTGATTTTAAAATGAAATGACTTAAATAATAAATTCCTAAAATATAAAGAAATTGTAGATTTTTTCAGATGTCCAAATATGCAGATTTATGCCATTTTCTATTTATTTTGCACACATTTTATAACATTATCATAAAAATCATACAAAATTTCCACACTTACTCTGGCAAACATTGTTCAAGTTATCTACCTATATAAACATAAATCTATTAGATGTATTGCTTATTTCTGGAAAAGACGTTTGTGTTATTTATCCTTAATAAATAGCTTTAAACACTTTGATTATGTTGATAGATACTTGAAGATGTATTGCTGATGAATTAAATTTACAAGCCCCTTTCTTGATCTTCACGTTACATTTGATATTGAGTCCGCTGGTGAAACTGCTAATTCTACACCTCATAAATAGTGGATCTACCATTTTCTTTTTGCATACTGGTAGCACAATGATGTCACAATTTTCAGACAACTTCTGTATCTGCGCTAAATGCTTCTTGTTTTTCATGATGTTTTCTTCAAGAAATTTTCTCTATAATTTTGACAACTCCAATAACCCTGAATCAGGATTCTACACTTCACAGATAATCCTCTGACAATTCTAACACCAGAGACATTTTTAGTGATGAAAGATTTTAGAATGATGTCATTTACATGTTTATTGAGCGTGCAAACATAAGTTTTGTGGTAGAACATAAAATTCTTTTTCTGTTACCGGTAATATTTTCAAGTCGTTATTATACTTCAACCATGTTGCTATGTGTGAATAGTGAATTACCGTAAGAGTCTTAGAATTTTTTCACATGGACTGGCAAAAATTTTCTTGATTTTAACTGAAACTTGAATTTCCTCCCTTCTCATATTTTTTGGAAAGAGAAGTTTGTCCAGTGCATAAAAAATACTCAAAATATTTTATGAATGTACAATCTCTATCAGATTGCAGTAAGCAAATTAATGAAACCTTATATGTCATTATAGAAAGATAAAACTGCTGATCTTGATGCCAAGTGGAAACATTGTGCAATAACTCAGGAACAACTTCGTGAACCAATCATGGCATGTGAGCTTGGCAGGTAAGTCAAATATATAACCAATCATGGCATGTGAGTTTGGCAGGTAAGTCAATATATTACGGATCATGGCATGTGAGTTAAGCAGGTAAGTCAATGTATAACCAAACATAGCATGTGAGCTTGGCAGGTTAGTCAATATATACCCAATCATGGTATGTGAGCTTGGCAGGTTAGTCAATATGTAACCAATTATGATAAATGAGCTTGGCAGGTAAGTCAATATGTAACCAATCATGGCATGTGAGCTTGGCAGGTAAGTCAATATGTAACCAATCATGGTATGTGAGCTTGGCAGGTAAGTCAATATATAACCAATTATTGCATGTGAGCTTGGGGGGTAAGTCAGTATATAACCAATCATGGCATGTGAGCTTGGCAGGTAAGTCAATATATAACCAATCATGACATGTGAGCTAGGAAGGTTTAGTCAAATATGTAACCAATTATGGCATGTGAGCTTGGCAGGTAAGTCAATATGTAACCAATCATGGCATGTGGGCCTGGTAGGTCTTAAAATTTTCAAATTTTAGTAAAAGCACAAAAAGACTATACAATTATATCTAATTGTAATAGGTAAAGGTGAGCACAACAAATAAGCATATATATATGCATGTAAACATTCAGAGAAATTAAACTGAGAAAAGAAACCATTTATTTTACATGTACATGTATCACCCAAAATTATTGTCACTGAATTATCTCATAATACAGAAAAGGAGTTATAATGTTGACATGTTAGATTTCTAATGCATAAAGTGAAATAGCTTATGTTAATTTGCATACATTTATTTACTTCATGGTTTCTTTCCTTACCGTGGCCAATATGGCAGAAAATTGACTTCATTGTAAATTTGTGTTTTGACAGGTTGTACAACAAAGAGGCAGTGTTGGAATTTTTGATTGACAGGACTAAATTTGAGTGTGCCTCAAGCTTTGAACATCTGCGTGGTCTCAAGGTACTAGATGTATGATTAAGATATGATATCTTACTGTTGTTTGAATTCATTCAGTTCATCAGGTAATGGCATCTTTAGCTAGTGTATATATCTATTTTCAATCCTACCTTGGATCAATAAAATTATGTGGCCAGGTGGCCTCATTATCAAGGTGGATTCAGGTGCAGTGGAATAGGTGATTATTATTTTTAGACTAGTAAAGGCAGGTAACAATAGTTACACATGTTGGTGTAAACAATATTTTATTAGAACAAAAACTATTAATGTAAATTTTTGGGAAAAAGTTTAAAGGAAACATCGGGTCTAGAATAACTTTTTGATATTTCATTCACTGAATGGTCATTAATGAATTTTACTCTGATACTATTTTATTAATAGTTAAGCTTTTCTGTATGTCATTGCTGCTAGAGTCAAGATTCATTCTCAATATTATCTCTTGAAATTCCTTAAAGTAGTAGAAGCATTTTGTTAAGTTATAATGCAGCAGACTGATACAGCATTCATGTTTTCTGGTTACAATGGTAATGTACATTATGTCTTAAAATTTTGGTGGTAAATGTTTAATTTTACAGATAAAATCTAGAAAATCTTCTGAAAAAATAGATAAATTGTTGGGGAAAAATTACCCATTAGTAAAACATTGTTATGTAAGGTTAAGTAACTTCATAGCTTGTTTCTTTTGGTCCTTTTGGGTTAATGAATTGTGGCTTGAAGCCCTTGACATTATTATATATAATTTTTATATTAAGGAAATGCAGATGATATATTTGTTAGACTCCTTTAATGCTATGTGAACTAAATTTTTAAATTTTATTTTGATTTCCATAGATTTTTATTTATTTGAATAAAAAAAAAGTCATTCTATTTTTAGGATTTAAAAGAGTTAAAATTGACAGAAAATAAAGGCTATGGACGACCAAAGAGTGAAAAAGGAGACAGCTATATTGACACACAAGACGCCAAGTACATCTGCCCGGTAGTGGGGATCACCATGAATGGAAAACATGGGTAGGTAAAGGGAAAGTAGGAAAGTAGCGGTTTACCTGAAAATCATGGGTAGGTAAAGGGAAAGTAGAGGTTAGGCTGGAAAACATGGGTAGGTAAAGGGAAATTGGAGGTTAAGCTGAAAAACATGGGTAGGTAAGGGGAAATTGGAGGTTGGGTGAAAAACAGAATTGGTATAAAAGGAGAAACATGGGTAAGTATAGGGGTTATAAACCATTATATGATTTAGAAAGGGAGTGGTTAAAATTTTCGTGTTCTAAATGATAATGTATTTTGTGTTCTAAATCATTTTTTTTCAGCATACATTGTTGAGTTAAATGTATTATGCAATTGTTTATTGTCCCTTAGAGATTGAACTGAACTTTAATTGGAATTCCTGCACTTGAATTTAGAAGTTTCTTAAAAATTTTCCAGGAAGTCACAGTAGATGGGGAGATGTGACCAGTTGTATTTAACTAAATACATGTATATCCATATGTTATCAGGCTGAATAAGTACATGTAGGTTGACACAGAGACTTGCTGTTAATTCATTTTGTATTTTCAGGTTTAGCTTCATCTGGTCCTGTGGATGTGTTTTATCTGACAGAGCTCTCAAAGAAGTCAAATCTGACATCTGTCATAAGGTAAGGTAAAGGTCCAAAAACTGCCACAAATCTGACATCTGTCATAAGGTAAGGTAAAGGTCCAAAAATTACTGCAAAAACTTTAACAGTCAGGACTGACAACACTGAGTGTCATTTGATCATTACTTTTATTATACCCCCGCTCCAAAGGAGAGGGGGGTATACTGTTTTACCCTTGTGTGTCTGTCTGTCTGTCCGTCTGTCTGTCCGTCTGTCTGTCTGTCTGTCCGTAACAAACTTTGGTCGCAGTTTTCTCAGCAACTACTCATCAGAGGTGCTTGAAATTTTAACACACTCTTTGTTTAGGTATGCCATATGGTGGGATTCATTTTTGTACGAATTCGATGTCAACTTCCTGTTTATCCGTGCGTTTGTCCGTACCATACATAAAAAAATTTGGTCGTAGTTTTCTCAGCAACTACTCATCGCAGATGCTTGAAATTTTAGCACAATCTTTGTTTAGGCATGCCATATGGTGGGATTCATTTTTGTACGAATCCGATGTCAACTTCCTGTTTATCCGTGCGTCTGTCCGTATCACACATAACAAACTTTGGTCACAGTTTTCTCAGCAACTACTCATCACAGGTGCTTGAAATTTTAACACACTCTTTGTTTAGGCATGCCATATGGTGGGATTCATTTTTGTACTAATCCGATGTCAACTTCCTGTTTATCAGTGTGTCTGTCCGTACCACACATAACAAACTTTGGTCGCAGTTTTCTCAGCAACTACTCATCATAGGTGCTTGAAATTTTAACACACTCTTTGTTTAGGCATGCCATATGGTGGGATTCATTTTTGTACGAATCCGATGTCAACTTCCTGTTTATCCGTGCGTCTGTTCGTACCATACATAACAAATTTTAGTCGTAGTTTTCTCAGCAACTACTCATTGCAGATGCTTGAAATTTTAGCACAATCTTTCTTTAGGCATGCCATATAATAGGATTCATTTTTGGAACAAATCCGATGTCAACTTCCTGTTTATCCGTGCGTCTGTCCATACCATACATAATAAATTTTGGTCGTAGTTTTCTCAGCAACTACTCATCACAGATGCTTGAAATTTTTTCTTTGTTTAGGCATGCCATATGTTGGGATTCAGTTTTTACAAATCCGATGTCAATTTCCTGATTATCACTGTGTTTGTCCATAACTGAACTTGTGTATTCACATCAGAGCGGGGGTATTATTAGTGAGCATTGGCTCACAGACTTCTTGTTTCTTTTTCCTCAGTGTGGCAGTAAATTCTCCAGAGATGATGTGATCACATTAAATGGGTCTGATGAGGATCTGGAGCGATTACAGCAGAGAATGAAGACGAGAAAGGAACAAGCCAAACTGGCAAAGGTAAGGGATAAATATAGCCAAACTGGCAAAGCTACAGGATAAGTAAGGCAAAACTGGCAAAGGTATAGGATAAATAAAGCCAAACTGGCAAAGGTATAGGATAAATAAAGCCAAACTGGCAAAGGTACAGGATAAATAAAGCCAAACTGGCAAAGATACAGGATAAATAAAGCCAAACTGGCAAAGGTACAGGATAAATAAAGCCAAACTGGCAAAGGTACAGGATAAATAAAGCCAAACTGGCAAAGGTACAGGATTAATGAAGCCAGACTGACAAATGTGCAGGATGAATGAAGCCAAAGTGGCAACAGTACAGGATAAATAAAGCCATATTGCCAAAAAATCTTTGGAGACAAAATGTCAGATTTGTTTACTGGACAAACACCGTCAAACCTTTGTTAGACAAAATTTCAGATTTTCTCACTTAATACAGTCAAACCTTTTAGTACAAAATGTCAAGACAAATAAAGTCATTCCTTTGAAGGACAAAATGTCAGATTTGTTTACTGGAAAAATAGTCAAACCTTCGTAGAACAAAAACTTGCTTACAACTAGTCACACCTTCCAAGGTCAAAATGTCACTTCTTACTGGACAAATAAAATCAATCTTGCTTACATTAAAAATACATCTTACTTGATTATTGGATAAAGATAAGTCAACCCTGTTTATTGAACTTTCTAAAGGACAAACACTGTGTAGAGTTGAATTTGTTTATGGGACATGCTGGACTAAAACAGTCAAACTTTACTGGATAAGTACACAAATATTAACAGACAATTACAGTCAAACATGTTTCATGGCAAATACAGTGAAGCCTTTTTTTTTAGGAGAAATACAAACTTATATACATGGTTATTTTTTTTTAAATTTATTTCAGAAAGCTAAAAAGCACAAAGCTGAATCAACAGAATCTGAATCAAAAGTCACAGGTGAGTCTTACCTATAATTCACAGTGAATGACAAGAGAGTGCTGTATTCTGAGCAGGAATATATATGTACTTAGGAACATTTATGTGGAAGCTCATGTATATAGTTCTAAAACGAGTTCAAGAGGAAAGATGGAAACCGTGTTGCTACATATTTTTTAAATTGTTTCAGATGCAAAGAAAGCAAAAACAGAAAAGCCATCTACCAAGAGCTCTTCCCGTGAAGCATCAGGGGGCCCCAAGGACAAACTTGTGACCCACACAAGCATTCAGAAGGACCCTAAGGCCAGCTCTACCTACAAGTCTCTCTTCACCTCCAGTAGCAAAGCTAAAAATCAACAATCCGCTCACTGGGTCACTTACAATCCATTCTATAACTGACAAGGGGGATGTAGCCAATAAGCCTAGCATTATATGAAGATGTACACTGAAAATATTCATCAGATCTAAAGATTTCCAAACGTCATATGAATTGTTTGTACATGTATTACAATTCTTAAGAGAATTCCAATGATGCATACAATTTTTTTTAATATTGATTCATGGCATTAGTCAGTGGGAACAATATTCAAGGGCAAATAGGAATCTATTTTGGAGGTAGTTCATTGACTTTGATTTGGTCATATAAATGATAATCTGCAGTTTTTATAAACATGTATGTACCACAAGATATATTAAAAGTATAACAGAAAGATTACCGAAATGAATTCAAGTTGTCATTGTTTGTACAAAATTATCTGGATTTTATATCCCTTGAAATTTGGTATTAAAATAAATATTTAATTTTAAATGACTAATTTAGTTATTGTTTTAATAAAATTTATGTGTTTGAATTTCTTGAACTCCTTTTGTTCAGGCAGAAAACACCCAATTACTTTTTGTTCAAAACTGTACCATTGAACAAGGAACCAAAAGTGGATGACAGGAATTAAAATCAATACATTTGTACGATACTCAATACACTTGTACGATACTCAATACACTTGTACGATACTCAGTACACTTATATGATACTCAATACACTTGTACGATACTCGATACACTTGTATGATACTCAATACACTTGTATGATACTCAGTACACTTGTACGATACTCAATACACTTGTATGATACTCAGTACACTTGTGTGATACTTGATGCACTTGCATGATGCTCAATTCTCTTGTACACTTGATACATTTGTACAATACTCGATACACTTGTACGATACTCAATACATTTGTTACTCAGTACACTTGCTCAGTATCAGGTACACAGGTACCGGTACTCTTTTGATACTGGATTTAACCTCTGGAAGACATGGGAGGAGGGTGGCCGTTGTCTGATGTGACGACTACAAATCTAATAACCACTCCTATACATTTTTACCTGTAATCAGGATAGAAATGTCTGTTGTGGTCTCCAATGTTATCAAGTTTCTTTGGACAACAAGGAAGCCATAGGCATGAAATAACAAAGCTCTGGATTTTTGGATGAAGTTTATTGAAAGGAAAAAGCCTTACACATGATTGTTTAAAACCCAAACATAAAGCTTACCCTAAAGCACCATCCTCGTATCACATAAAATTGTCCCCTATAAACGTGGAAAGGTTGACAATGTGGAAACATTGAAGAAAATGACAACTGGCTAATGATCTCAGTTCCACACATTAATTTTCTCATCATGAGAGAAGCAATCAATACTACTCCTTCATCCAAATTTCCCCTCTAAATTTTTTAAATAAGAAAATCTTCAATTCCCACCTGTCAATATAACCATGTTTATACCTGTGTCAGGATTCAAGGAAAGATCAGTACTCCCATTTTTAAAACATCATCTCTGAAGTATATGTGTCTTAAAATTGAACAATTTACTCCATCATTTATTTCCTGTATAACAGATCATACCCATCTTTCATGTTTAATAAAAGATATTTTAAGATATTCTGATAATTATGACCTTTGACCTGGATTCCTTATACAAGTGACCTTATCTGCCTAGGGCATTCTTCCCTGCTTTCAATAAATAACTTTACAGAGTTGTTAAAATTCACTGGAGACAAATAACAAAATTCCACATGTGATTGACATTTGATAGGATGACTGCATGCATGATTAAAACACAATTACCCAGTTCTTCAGTCTCTTGGAGACTCGGTATAAAATTTCACAGAACATAAACCTGCCTTATCCAGATAGTAGTCCATAGTGACTGTTCATTTAATATCAACAGATACCTTAATCTAACTCGAGACTTTGATGTAATATTCCTATGATCTGATGTATACAATAACAGGTTCTCTGTATACAGAGTGATATACAGCACTAAGACAGAGAACTAGTAAACCATTATACAATCAGCTCCGTTCTATAATCCTGTTAACTTGTAATAATGATGTGATGAAATACATAAAACACAGAATTTCAGTTGATACTGTCCAAGTCATACAGAAATATCAGTTAAACATCTCCTGTAGAAACACCTGGTCTCACCATGATGTTCTTACTTTCTCTTTTAAACCAGCATATAACTTAGTATCGGGTCTTTCAGTCAAATAATCAATATACAATTGTATAAGTGGATAATATCAACTGAAAGCTTATAACAAGACAGCTAAAATGATTAATCTATGTACAGCATATAAAGCTTAGATCTGACATTAATAAACAGAAATTCGTAGACAGTAAAAATTCTTCTCCTTTCTCCTTTAAAATTTTCACTAAATTTTATCCAATTCAAACAAAAATGCACAAGTTAATGTTTATTTACATCATAAGAAAAGTGATAAAATCGTTCTCATTTCTGTCCTTTCCCAAATATTACTATATTTATAATTATGCAACGTTGTTATTTAGATGTGACGTATCAAATTTTAGGAAGGATAAGTCTGAAAACAAAAGAACAACATTGTGCTAATTGTCTTGATATCTGAACAGATTATCAGTGACCTTTCTCATGATGCTCCTGCACTTTATGCTGTGTAGGGTGGGGGCAGACCCTCCCCATTCCTCATTGCCTCTTCATACTTTGGGGGCAGCAGAACCTGCGATAAAAAATCGATTAAAAATCAGTGAATATGGAGTTATTCTGGTGCCTATCTAGCTATCTGGACTGACTGGATTTGTAAATCAGTCAATATGGATTATTCTAGTGCCTATCTGGCTATCTGGATTGACTGGACATGATGCTTGGACAGAAGTCTTTGACTGTAATAAATATGGTCTGACATGTAAAATTTAAAATTAGATATTTCCTTTAACATATGCTGGTCTAGATATTCTAGATATAGTGTATACAGAAATTGACAACCTAAAGAAAGAAAAATGCATGAACATAAGTATTTTTTCTACATCTGTGTATATAATTTTTCACAGATTCATTATGAACAACCCTGCTTTTTACATCCCTAAAATCTAATGAGACATCAAATTCAGTTATCTATTATACCTTTGTTTATCTTCTGACTGATATACATGTATTACCCTATACCTGACATAATAACTGCATATGAGATAAAACCTGAAGATATCTACTAATAGATAAGATTTATTTCATATACTGTTATTTTAGGAACAACAAAGTAAGCGTTTTTTCCCCAAAATGTGGCCATTTTTTTTTTGAGATACCTGACCTCTGACTGAGATTGGGATACCTGACCTCTGAGATTGAGATACCTGACCTCTGAGATTGAGATATCTGACCTCTGACTGAGATACTTGACCTCTGATTGAGACATTTACCTGTGAGTCTGGGTCTACAGAGTATTCTCTGATCTGGTTACAGCTGACATTTCTGGATTTCAAGTAGTTGTAACAGCTCCATACCATTCCAATCAGATAAGCCTAAAATTGATACATACAGATAAAATACCTGTATATTTCTGTGATCTGAAAAAGTCCTACTCTAACAACAGGCAGTCCTTTTTTGTTGGTTTTAGGAGCAATCAAAGTATTGCCCTGTTTGTCTACCTGAACAACATTTCTTTACCTTCATGGACAGGAACAGGACAAAAGCCAGGAGACAGAGAAGCATCAGCCATTGAGAGTCCATGTCCATCAGGTGCTTCAGACCAGGTACGCAGGACTGAAATTATACAAGCAACAATCAACAAACCAGGAATACAGGACTGAAATTATACAAATTACAATCAACAAACCAGGTACACAGGACTGAAATTGTACAAATTACAATCAACAAACCAGGTACACAGGACTGAAATTATACAAATTACAATCAACAGACCAGGTACACAGGACTGAAATTATACAAATTACAATCGACAGACCAGGTACACAGGACTGAAATTATACAAATTACAATCAACAGACCAGGTACACAGGACTGAAATTATACAAATTACAATCGACAGACCAGGTACACAGGACTGAAATTATACAAATTACAATCAACAAACCAGGTATGCAGGACTGAAATAATACAAATTACAATCAACAGACCAGGTACACAGTACTGAAATTATACAAATTACAATCAACAAACCAGGTACACAGGACTGAAATAATACAAATTACAATCAACAGACCAGGTACACAGGACTGAAATTATACAAATTACAATCAACAAACCAGGTACACAGGACTGAAATTAAACAAATTACAATCAACAAACCAGGTACACAAGACTGAAATTATACAAATTACAATCAACAAACCAGGTACACAGGACTGAAATTATACAAATTACAAATAAATTACAATCAACAGACCAGGTACACAGGACTGAAATTATACAAATTACAATCAACAAACCAGGTACACAGGACTGAAATTATACAAATTACAAATAAATTACAATCAACAGACCAGGTACACAGGACTGAAATTATACAAATTACAATCAACAAACCAGGTACACAGGACTGAAATTATACAAATTACAATCAACAAACCAGGTACAAAGGACTGAAATTATACAAATCACAAATAAATTACAATCAACAGACCAGGTACACAGGACTGAAATTATACAAACAACAATCAACAAACCAGGTACACAGGACTGAAATTATACAAATTACAAATAAATTACAATCAACAGACCAGGTACACAGGACTGAAATTATACAAACAACAATCAACAAACCAGGTACACAGGACTGAAATTATACAAATTACAATCAACAGACCAGGTACACAGGACTGAAATTATACAAATTACAAATAAATTACAATCAACAGACCAGGTACGCAGGACTGAAATTGTACAAATTACAATCAACAAACCAGGTACACAGGACTGAAATTATACAAATTACAATCAACAGACCAGGTACACAGGACTGAAATTATACATACAACAATCAACAAACCAGGTACACAAGACTGAAATTATACAAATTACAATCAACAGACCAGGTCACAGGACTGAAATTATACATACAACAATCAACAAACCAGGTACACAAGACTGATATTATACAAATTACAATCAACAAACCAGGTATGCAGGACTGAAATTATACAAATTACAATCAACAGACCAGGTACACAGGACTGAAATTATACAAATTACAATCAACAAACCAGGTACACAGGACTGAATTATATAAAAATAACAATCAACAGACCAGGTACATGCACGCAGGAATGAAATACGCAAATGGAAACAAGATATGCTGTTGAAATATTTTTAGAAAGCTCTTCCTGAGCTCCTTTTCCATTAATTCAAAATAGGTTTCTGAGAAGTGTGTTCACAGGCAATTTCAAAAGTTTCAAGGAACACATTCATAACCTAAAGATCAATATAATGTTGTAATAAAGAAAGTATCAACTCACCAGTCCCTGGGTCCTGAGCCAGATTTTGATATTTGGGGAGTAGCTAAGGTACCCTACGACTGTCAGACAGCTCAGGCAGAAGTCAAACACTTGTAGGCAGAAGAAAGGCAAGATGTATCCAGGCCGATTCTGAAACAGAAATCAGTGCTCTTGTTTTGTGTGCTTTATATACTCATTTTGTTTTGCAAAAAACTTAATAAATCTCCTTAAATTTAACTATGACTTTTAAAATCTTCAACTTTTTGTGTTATTTTTGATGTCATATAATTTTGCAATGAAAGCAGAATGAGAATGTTGAATATACATGTATTGACCTCAACTGTTTGAAGAGACAGTAGTGAGGGCTTTAAGAGATAGTGCACCACCTATAGTATGGCACATTATGTTTCTAAACCCTGACTACTGTTAAGGTATAGTATCTGCAAAACACAGCATTAAGTATAAACTGTGTGTAACTCACCCTGAGGACTCCATAAAGGAGGAATAAACCTGTAACTAACCCTGAGGACTCCATAAAGGAGGAATAAACCTGTAACTCACCCTGAGGACTCCATAAAGGAAGAATAAACCTGTAACTCACCCTGAGGACTCCATAAAGGAGGAATAAATCTGTAACTAACCCTGAGGACTCCATAAAGGAGGAATAAACTTGTCACTCACCTTGAGGACTCCATAAAGGAGGAATAAACTTGTCACTCACCTTGAGGAC